AGCAGGAGGAAGGGGAGGGGGTGCAATTTCGGTTCCTTGTGGCGTGGGGCTGTGGGAGTAGGAGTCAAATGTTTTCCTTCTCCCTCTCTTTCGCGATTGGAACAATCGTACGTGCGAAGAAACCACCCCTCATGCGTTGCCTCAAAAGGAATTCACGTAAGGGTACGATAAAGTCAAACGACAGCTGATCCTGTGTCCCAAGGATATAAGTCAATAAGTACGTTGAATTCATCGACGCTAATATTGAGTCTGAAAATTAGAACGCTACTCGAGAAACGATCGAGGTTTGTGCTTTCACAGAATTTTTTTGCAGTCGTATTCTTATATATATATATATATATATATATATATATATATATATCTTATCTATCTATTATTATATCTTGGAATGTTTACGGAAAATAATCAGGAGGGATTTTTTTCCGTCTCTTCTCTTTCTACTCTCTCAAAAATCTCGAAGAGATGTGGGCTTCATTAACTAAATAAAACATTAATAATGTAATAAAAGAACTAATTATTTAATAAATAATTATTTCTAATCCTCAACGATAAATGACCAGGAACAAGAAAACTATTAATTTTTTTAGGAAATATACAATAGATGATTCCTTTTCGAATTCCTTTTTCACTTCACAGAAAGACATCGATCTTATTAATATATTTACATTAAAATTCTTTTACGTAATGTGTAAAAATTCTTTTATACATAACATGTAATGTACACTTCTAGTTAGAATACTTAAAATTTCCATTATTCCGATTATATATTTAATGATTCTATTGTCTTGTGAGGCGACCAGGGAATGTCCTAATGCTATAAATCCGGGACAAATAGTATCGAACAGCTATAATTTGAATAGAAAGTGCTTCTCTTTCCCTATTGATGTCTCGAAAATCCCCAACATATATACCCATTTTCCTCGAGAAAAATCTAGACCTCATGTAGTCGTATAGAAAACACAATGAAAGACGATATGATCATGCACGCGCGCCCGCGAGGCATCTGCGATACCTGTGAAAATCCCCCAAGAAAGCGAGGGTGGTTTAACGATCAGGTGAAGCATTGTCATTCGAAGGAATGAAAAAAAGAGCGGATTCAACATTTTTCAAGTTTCTACCTGCCTCTTCCAAATTTCAACCGCAAGAAACGCGTGTTTGTGTTAGAAACGGAAAACCATTCCTTTAACAATGCGTGAAACAAGCTAGAACCTGTGTGAATCTTGAAAATGAATCTTCAGTATGAATCTTCTTAGGACACCTAAGGTTAACCCAGATCCCAGAACTTTATTAGTTTAAACTTCAAAAGTAACAATAATACCCTGAAGGTCAAGCAGGTATAATTTTTTAATTGTAAAAAATTGCCTGTGAAATTTGAACATATTTTTAAGAACTTATTTTGGAGATCCCCCTGGATGTCTGAAAATAATTTTTATATCGTCTTGTCAGAATTGTTTTTCTGAAGATTCAAACGAGTCGCGTGTCTGTCTTTAATTTTGACAGCAGTGTCAAGATTAATATAACAAATTAATAAAATAAATATTAACAAATTTAATCAAATGAAAATTTCTTTATAAAATTTTTTTCTTTGTAAAATTTTATTGCTCAGTTTTCATGCATCATTATTACATTGGTTGACTTTCATTGTGCATGTTACCGCTACACTTTGTTCGTGCTATCTATATAATTTTTATTTTGCATGATTACATTTTAACTAAGTTATTACTGTAAAGGCAGCATCTGTGTTTATGTATTTATGCTTAATATATCTTATGTTTCGAATGCATTAATGTCTACGATGCATTAATTTTTTATGTCGAGCATGAGATTTAATTCAGTATTTTTCAAGATTGTGTAGCTGCATAGAAATTCAAGCTAAAATATCTGAATATTTCGACATGAAAACAAATCTATTCAGCCTATTGATTAGAAATTCAAACGAAAGTAATTGAATATGAATTGGCTAGAAATTCAGACAGATGTTTGAATGTTTAGGCTCTGAAATAAAAAATGTTCAAACAATTGACTAGGAATTTTTATGTATCTGAATATTAAGCACTGAGATCAGAAATAATTAAACTACTAGCAACAAATTTAAACAATTATGTGTCTGTAATAAAATTGTAGATATTTTTAGCTGATCTTCAGTCAATTAATTTTTTGAAATGTCTTTGTTCCTAAGATATCTCTTCTTTAATTAGTTTATTATAATTTAAGCTCTATTGATTAATAATAATAATATTGTATTAATAGTATTGATTCGATTTATGCAAATTACTCGAGTATTTTCTTATATTTTCTTCAAAAATAATTCTTGAATTATTTGTTTTACGTGTTTAAACAAAAAGTACTTCAGTTATAAGATAGCCATTTCTAGGGTACCGTTTTCCCTTTTGTCGGCATGACGAAGAATTTTTTCAGTTCCAACGAAAATCTCTCCAAATTCCAAGATGGATTTCAATTTTCATGGAATTCTCATTCTTTTCTCTCTTCTGTTAAAAAAAATAAAAATTAACATAGGTTATTTTATAAAACATACTGTCATATTGATGCCTGATCATGTTGATTCCTTACGACTATACATAATCGAAATAACGTTTTCACAAAAATTCTTCAAAAAATACATGCTAAATTTTATTTCTACAAATATTTTCTATATTAGATGACGAGTAAAATTATAAATAAAAAATTCCTACAGATTTTATCGTTAATTATAAATCATCTAAAGGGCTTATCTTTACATATATTATCCGAACAAATCAAATTTCTACAAATATTTTCTGCATTAGATGACGTGTAAGATTATAAATGAAAAATTCCTGCAGATTTTATCGTTAATTATAAATCATCTAAAGGACTTATCTTTACATATATTTATCCGAACAAATCAAGTTTCGATCTTAAGGCCGTTCAATCTTGCTTGAAAATCCGGAGCAATAATGCGCGATGTCAATAAACTCAATATCAAAGTGTCGACGCCCCCCTTTCGCACGAGAAAATAAGACCTATACGAGAGTCCTCGGGGAACGAGAGGGCGAGCGATCAACGAGGATCAGATCCAACGTATACACGTGGACGACGTGCGTGCACATATGTGCACTTGCGCGTAGAAATTCATACATACGAGAAAAGCATGCAAAGGCGGCCCCCCCACAGCGGTCGATCGCCCTAAGTTGCCGCTCTCGCCCTTCTCACCCTTAAGGTTTTCTTTTACGCGGCCCTTTCACGGCCTGTCATTGGTCACCTCCCTACCATCGCCTCGTATCCGCCGTATATAACTCGTGTTTTGGCGCGCGGACCTCCAGTCCGAATCCCGCATTCGGAGGATGTGGTGATCCTAGGACCTTTGCCGGTCACAGGGAGCTCGTCTCTGGGCGACAAAATATATAGTTCGATAACTGTTAAGGTCTTATCGCGTCATGGACATCCTGCATACGATTAAACATCCTGCCACGGATGCACTGATTAGGAGCGCTGGCAATGACGATACGAATATACGTAATATAGGTGCTCTGGAAAGGTATGCGGATATGGACCGACGCGTTTTGCATAGTGCAGTGTCCTTGCAATATATTGTGAAATAATGTTTCTCGTCCTGATGGCCTGTGACCGTTTGCTGGCGTAGATCTGATTCTGTGTATCTGATTTATAATTAAATTCATTCACAAGTCACGTTTTTTGCTGGAAAGTGTCTGTTGCAAATTTGTGCCGCCAAGTGAATGTTGCAATCGTCGCGATAAATGAACGATCGAATGATAAACTTAAAAATACTTGATGATAAATTAGTAGTAGATAACAATATATTGATATTGCATCTGCGATTTTTTTATTAAAAGTATATGTATACAGGATGTTTCAGTGTAAATGTAAGTAATCTCTCGTGAACACATGTAAAAGGAGTAAAAATAATCCCAAAAGTTGTTCCTATACATTTTTTTCCACAACGCAGCCGAGATATTTGTCTTTAAAGTTAAAATTTGAAGAAAATATTTTTAAATAACTTTTGTACCACTCTGTAGTTTCATAATTTGTAATAATTTTTATATTAAGTGAAGGTTAAAATAACGTGATAAATTTCTTGATACCATGTCGGGAAGCTACTTTTTAATTTTGAAGCCGATAGGTTTCTTTTATATTTTTTTATTTTTTATTTTTTTTTCTTTACATCTTTTTCTAAAAAGAGAATATTCTTGTTTCATTTCAAATTAAATATATTTTCGGGAAACATATTTCATTGATAGAAAATAAATTATGAAAAATAATGATAATAAAATGATAAAAGATGCGTTGTAAAAAAAAATTTATAGGAACTTATGAAGTTATTTTTTATCTGCCTTACATGTTCACGAAATTTATTTATCGAAAGACCCTGTATAATATGCTGTGAATCATTATTAAGTTATTTATATAAAAATATATTAAATATGTGATAGAAATATGTGATTCCACGATATGCCATATCCATATGCGATTGATCCACGGGTATAATTATAATTATATTATGGTTATAATATTCTTAGAGATTGCTGATTTAATTAGTACATATTTAATTGAAGCGTACTTATAACAAGAAAAGCCACGTGTTTAAAGAGCGGTTACCCGGTTCAGGTCGTGTGGCACGTTTTCGTGCCGAACGCGTGTTCGTGGGCCACATGGGCCACAGCCTTACATTTTAATACACAGATCAGATGTGTTTTATCTGGAAAAAATAAGAAAGTGGAACAATGAATGAATTTTTTAATGATGGAAAATTAAAGGAATTATTATAATCTCTTATTACCGCGATTAGATGTTATAATTATTGTTATTATTGGAATTATTAATGTTAAAAGTTTCTCAAAAAGGAAAAAAAATATATTTTCATTTCGTAGAAAACATTTTAAAGAGATAATATTTTTTTTATTTGTGTAGCATTCATTGTTTAAAAAATATCATACGACAAGACTGACTTTATGGTTTCATTTACACATGATTCTAATTAAGTTGCCTCCGTTTACTTGCAGATTGATAGATGCTCTAACGAAAACGGCATGTCGTTCCGATATGACAAACGCAGACATATTGGACTTTTGCAAGAAACAACTAAATGAACAGCGTAAACACGAGTACGAGTGTGAAAACGAAAATAAAGAGAACGACGCCACCATCAGCTTGTACAACCCTACTCCGCAAAAGGTAATAGGGTTTTTCTAGAAGGATTTTTCTAGAGGAATTTTTCTAGAGGAATTTTTGCATGACGCTTTGTGTTAGTATATTTTTTTATTTTATCAAGCAATGAATTTTTAAAGAACATTTTGTAAACTTTTAAAAAATTTAATAATGATTAATAAAAACTCCTTTAACAAAGTAGACAATTACATTAGAATTTATAACAAAGTATTTAATAAAATGACTATTATATGTTGGATAAAGCTTAAAAATAGAAATAAATTAATTTTAAACGTATATATATTAGAAAAATAGAAATAAATTAATAGAAATAAAAATAGGAATAAATTAAATTTATAAATGTATATATATTAGAGATGTAAAAGGATTTTTTAATCGAATCGAATTAAATCGAATTAAATTATAAAACTATGGCTTATAATTATTGTGGGATAAAATTATTTAATTATACATAATTAATATATTAACATATACATAATTAATATTATATATTAATATATATAATATTAATAATAAAATATTAATACTTTATATGAAAAAGATGACATTTTCATCGTGTGATAAATAATTTTGTTGTTAATTAATTTCGAGTTAAGATATGTGTATCTATATGTACTTAATATAACTTTGTGTGTATGTATGTAATGTGTAAAATATAATTTATCTATGATCACAATAATCAAAGCAGTCAGATAAGAAACCATATAAATCGATTTTAAAGTATTCTAATGTAAAAGTGTTTAATGTAAATATTAATAAATAACATACATTTTTTTATAATACATACTTATGATAGTGATATATGATAGTTAATAGATAAGTAGCTCTCTGGTTTAAACTATACACATTACTTATCGATAAATTGATAAGATATGATATATGATATCTGATTTAAATTATTTATTACTCACCGAAATAACAATGTGATTACTCACCGATTTCTAGAACGATATCTAAATTTGAAATAGTTGTACTATAACCATATGATGTGTGTATGGAAACAGAGAGAAAGAGAGAGAGAGAGAGAAAGGGAGGGGAGAGGAAGCGCAAGATCGGACGAGATTTCCACGAACAATTTATACATATTCAATTCAATTCCGGATATTATATGCATTCCGAGATAGATAAAGTCTTTTCCGCGATAAGTCAAATATATAACAAATCCAACTCGCCAACTCCGAGAAGGCACCTGCAGCTGTCTCTTATCATAGGGTGAAGTACATTGATTTTTAATGTCTACGATTTACATGGGTCGATCGCAGATAGCGGTAGCAGGGTTCGCGGCTAATTTTTGTTACAAAAAAATTATCCCCTCGGTATTCTTCCGCTTATTGGTCTCTGATTTGTCCATAACACATACAACACCTTGCGCATATCCGGCATGACCGCCAGTGATTCGATTGGCTACCTGCTGAGCGATCTCTCTCTCTCTCTCTCTCTCCCTTCCTCTCTCCCTCTCCTGTTTTTCCTTAATAATCAAAGTCTACGACTTGCGCTACGTTTCCTCCTTTCCACTTTCGTCTGATCGATATCACCGGAAACATCGATTTTTCTGTGAAGAGAGTGCATTACTAACTCGCTTTTAAGTCAGTTATACACGTGTATATAGAAATACCTTGCGTTTTTCGAGAATTTTTTCTCTCTTTTACAATTAAAATAATTTTATTATTTAATTTTATTTATTAAAATAATTTTATTAGTTAATTTTATTATTATTTTATTACTAATTATATTAATAAAATGTTTGAAATTGCAATAATCTTATTATTTATCGTCATAATTTTTTCTCTGTTTTAGGCGTGTAAGAAAATAGTACGCTGTCCTTTGGAGAAGCGCAAGCTCTACAAACACAGTAGCGGCAATCATAGCGAAAGCTCTATCGATGATAAAGACGATAAGCGATACGGATTTCGTATCGCCAGCGATACCTCAGCAGCGCGACGAATGCTATGCAGTCCGCTGCAATCACCATCAGTGCTTCCTAATTCTCGAACTTCTCTGCTGCGTGATCTAAAGACATCGGAGCCAAATTTTCTACGTAGCTTGTCGTCGGGATACGAAAGCATGGATGAGGGATTCGTGAATGAGCTCGTCGACATGGAGACGATAGACGATGAGACGCAATTACCAAGCGATCTCTCCAAGTTATTATCCGGCGACATAGTTGCGGCTGAGACATCGATGGATTGCGACGTCTCGACGACTCCCGAATGGTCCCGGGCCAATCGATCCTCTAGAAAACCATCGATCAAAGATTGGTCGATACAGAGGGAAATATACAAACGGGAGATCAATACGAGATCGCCACCGTTACCGAAGTCGCCATCACTATCGAAGATTCGCACCTGTTTATTTCGCTCGCCGAAGGCAACTTGCTCGAAGAGACTAATGCGAACGTTCAGTTACGATGAGAATTCCCCGACACGTTTCTGCGTCGAGACTTCGGAGATTTCGCCGCATACCATTAGGTCATCCTATAAGCGACCGCCGGACGAATTGCCGGAGGACGAGTTGTCGACGCTGAAGAAGACGCGCAGATCTAGCTTCCACCTCCATGGGACGCCGAGATCGGCGTTCGCGAGTCCCACGATGCGCCCGAAACTCGGCCCGAAGTTGCAAAGAAGTCTGTCCGAGACCGAGACGCATACGAACATCAAGTGGGCGGTTCATCGCAGCGTCACTGACACCGATCTCATCGGCGACTTTAGCAAACCATGCATACTGCCAATCACGATGGGACATCATCCGGATCTCAAGTCCATAACGTCCGATACGTTGGCGGCGCTCTTGCGCGGCGAGTTCGCCGATCGTATCGGTTCGTACAAGATCATCGATTGCCGATATCCGTACGAATACGAAGGTGGCCACATCGCGGGAGCGCTAAATCTTTACGACAAGGGGCTTATCGCGCAGGTCCTGTTCGATCCATTAACGTCCACTGTTCCCAAAATCCAGACCGATATTGAGAAGCGCGACATCCTTGTATTCCACTGCGAATTCTCCTGGGAACGCGGACCGAATCTCTCGAGGCTCTTGCGTAGAATGGATCGCGAGTTTAACGAGGAACGTTATCCAGCACTATTTTATCCGGAGATCTATCTATTGCAAGGGGGTTACGAGAAATTTTATGGCGAGCAGAAGGAATTCTGTTTGCCGCAGGATTACAAACCGATGAGGCATCCTAATCACGACACAGAGTTCAGATTCTTTCGCAACAAGAGCAAGAGTTGGCAAGGAGATGGCAAGCCCAAGGGGCCCAATCCGACAACACGAACGCACCTTAAACGTTTAGGCTTTTAGAACATTTCCTTATCTAAAGTTTAGGCTAATCTAAAATTTATTATCTTCCACACTCAAAAAAATATCAAGTCGAATCTCAGAGTTAGACGTTGAACGTTCAAAGATGGTCGGGATGTGTGAAATGCGCGCACCATGCGCGTTGACGAAGTGCAAACAGCGTAAAGAGACTACTCGTCCTCCTGTTATCTTATCTTCGGTCGCTCTTTGCGCTATTAATATGACTAATTCGTGAAGCTCTCTGCGTAGTATTTTGTACATAATGTAAATGTCATTCGAGCGTAGATTCTAATCGATCTCGACACTGAGATACATAGTAATTTAGTATTGGTATAGACACTGAGATCGATTTGAATTTATGTATCTATATCGTATTTCTTTGATGCCGACAACGATAGGCTGTGATGTCATTTCGTCGCGGCCTGATAGCGCATCGCATCGAGAATTTTGTACATAAAAATTACAAATTTTAGTCAGATCATTATAATTCAGGCCATTCTGTAATTAAGTATGATGGATAATCAAACATTGCAATATATCTTTGCGTATCGACCGGAAGATTAGCAGGGTAATCAAATGGGCGTAATGTCGTGAACATGTTATAAATTTTTTTTTTCAAATGTTTATAATAACTTCGGGCGGTCATTTTATTGTGTATATATATATGTATATGACATACCACCGCGAGACGTCAACGAGGCTTAACTATATATATATCGATCTCTTTCTCTCAGTATTGCTTTGCCAATTTCTTTAAAGCAAGCACTCACGATCGATGCTGTGAATAGCATAAAATATTGCCAATTCATCGTTGCAATTCACGATTATAAAATATCTTATTAATATACAAGGATTAATTCTTAAATGCTTGCGCATCGGTTTAATATGATTTAATCGATTTTTCTTTCACGAGTGATTTTTTTTGAAAAGAAAGAAAAGAACAAAGGAGCTAGTCTCAGTACGCTTCAACAAGAGGATTCTTGAATTTTTGTAGGAAATTTAATTTTCTCTTTCTAAAAGAGAAAGAACTGCCCGTTACGCAGGTATTTGAGGATTAATCTACATCTACAACATTATTAGCCATTTCAAGTTCTATCGAGTAGAAGTGATTATAAATATTACTAAATGTGCAAATTTTTTGTTGTTACATATTGTAAAAATTATTTTTACGTTACTACATTGATGAATATATAACGCCATGCAATATAAGTACGATGCATTTTCTTATTTTTCCTTGCTTTTTTCATGCTTCTCTTTCATTTCTCGTCTACTTGATTCATCAAACACATAGTGCATCTTTCTTATATATATTCTCTCATTCTGAATATTTCATGATTACATTATGCATATTAGAAAATCCATTTCAATGCGTAAGTTTAAAAAACTCTGTGATTATATAAAATTTTTACGATTAAAAATTTATTTACGATATCTCAGCCATATATTTGCGTTAGAGATGTAAAAGAGACCGATCGGTGCCACTGCGATCGCATTTGCGAATGTTATTTCTCAAAAACAAAACGAAAGCACATGTAATTTATCTTCGAGATCGATTTTTTAAGATTCTTAATAAATATAAAATTTCTCGATTGTCAACGATATCCTTTATCAGATATTCAACAAAACATGATGAACGATAAATGCGTTGTCTCGACGAAGACTGACGCGCTTCAAGATTCAAAGTTGCAAAACTGCGAAATTTCCAAATCTTACTCTGAGAAATGTGCACAAAACGAAGAAAATATACAGATTGAGAATGCAGCCGCGATTTATACCGAAATGTCGGATGAAGATAACACATCTGAACGAACGTCGTCAGTCGACCTCGAAAATCAACTTCCCTTCGCGACAGAATCATCCGTTGATTGTGGAAAGAAATTCGCGTATATAGTTGCATTCTTATATTATATTCTCAAAATAATAATCGAGAAAAACATCTGGAAAAGATATCATGAAATAAAAGTATCTTCGAAATAAATTCTTGAATTTTTTGTGGCCAAAATTACAAAGATGGTTTTACCTAAGAAAATATTTAATGGTGATAAAAGATCTTTTGCAAGTGATATAAAGAAATAAAAAATACTTTTTTACCTTTCTTATAATTAATCTTGGATCAATTTAAAAAGATTTTATTTAAGATGTATATTCGTTTATAAATTTAATAATGCTGGCAATAAAAAGAACGATTATTTCTCTACATATTTTTGTTATGTAATATAAATGTATATAAAAATATAATCTATTTGCATTTAATAGTATAAAAAAAAATTTAATTTCTTAATATTTCTTGCGCAATTAAATTAAAATTATTATTTATATATTAGAGAGAAAATATTATAATTTGACAGATCTGTTCTTCATGAGCGCGCTCAAAAGCTCTGGTCAGAGATGACATGTCTTCGGGAAAAATTAAACAAAGAGATGGCTCTTTGGAAAAAAGAGAGGGAAGAATTTCAGCTTTTACGTGAGAGAAGCGATGCCCTCGCATTCGAAGAGGCAACTGCAGCCGCACGAGCTGCAGCCGCAGCTTATGCCATCGAATCACCACTTTCGAGTGATTTAAGTAATGAGTGATCGAATGATTCAATTATAATAATATTATTGTTGAATTTCGATATATATTTGTGTAGTATTCTGTACTTTTTGTACATTTTTTTTCTAACAAGAGCAATCAAAAGCATTGCATCATTTATAGAAACAGAGAATTGTTATTTTAATAAACAAAAACATATATTAATATTACCAAATTATATGTTATTACTATTATTTTATTTTTTAACATCGTAAAAATTGAAAATTATAACAATGACAAAAATATTAAATTTTTTATCTTTTAAAATGGCCTCTCTTTGCTTTCAATATTATTTCACATATTCTTGGCATTCTTGACAATAGTTTTTTTCGAAATTGTTACTGATGTTTGATTGCAGCATATTTGTAAATACTCCCACTGATGAATACCATCAAGTTCATTCCACAATAGTTTTACTAGATAATTGAGAAGGCTACTTTAAAGAGTAAAAATTTAATATTTATTATTTATTATACCATTTTTCATTTTTATATGAAAGCATAAAAAAACAACAAGAAAGTATAAATTAATAATATTTATACATATATGTTTTTGTACAAGTAACGACTTTTCTATTTCTATAAATGATGAAATATTTTTACTCGGTACCGCATATTTATTCTAACTTTTGATTGAACTTGTAGATATCGTAGACATCATGTCGGAGCAGGGTATTAGAGAGCTCGCAATACTCGAATACGAGAAAAATCTCGCCAAGTATCAAAACTCATATTCTTTTGAGCAAGTCGAGCAACGTTACAACTCGTACAGACGGACGCTTGTCGATGCGTATAAACAGCGGCTATTGGAGGTTGAGCGCCTCTGCGACAAGGAATTGGAGAGCATATGCCAAAACGCGAGTTGCTTGCAACCGTTTAAAGAGATTGCATCGCAATGGTTCATTGACAAGAACGATTGCGGTGACTCGCAGGACATTTATAATGATCAATCCGACATAGAGCAATCCAAAATTGTCGAAGCAGGTGTCAACAATGATCGCGTATACGGCAAAATTAACAATGAAGTCAATATGGTTCCAGAAATTTTATGCGCTCGATTCCACCGAGAAGAAACGACATAATATTCTTGATTGAACGCTTGTTTGTCCATATCTTTGAATTAATCATTCTTTATATTGACATATTTATTTTATATTTTTCATATGACAGAATAGTTAGTCAAATGCTCTTCTTTCTGGAATAAACTGTGATGACGTCATTAGATATCATATTTAATTGAGACAATTTAGTTCACGCTTTGGGAGAGCAATTAAATCCTATTTATATATATAACTTCATTTTCATACATTTATATATTGATGACTAAAAATTGTATATTATATATGTATAAGTAGTAAATCATGTGTAGTTTTGAAATTTTTTATTTTATGTTTATTTTTATTTGAATAACATATGTCATGAATTTTTTTTATTTATAATGACATAATATTTAAATTTCATAACACATAACGAATAAAAAATAATCTTTTAAAGATCTCTGAGACTAAAAGATTTCATATTCTTTGCAAATTAACGAAATCAAAACGGTTTAAAAATTTAAGAGAATTGTTCTTCTTTCTCTATCTTACAATTAGTTTTATCATTGTAATCTGTAAAAATATTTTAATGAAATGTACAGGCAAAAAATTATTATCTAATTAGAAATTAATATATTTTCGATATATTACTTACAGCCATTTATTTCCAACGATGGATAAATATTTTGTTTAGCGCGAAGACGTATATCTTCTACATAAGATTTAGTTTTGTCCAATAAAATTTTACTCAATTCGATACGTTTTGCTACAGCAGCTAATTGTATCTAATTTAACAAGCAGTTTAAACAAATTGATAAATTAATTAGTTTCGAAATGAAATATGAACGATATAATTGAAAATAATTCTTATAAGAAAATAAACTCAAAATCTCTTACATCAATTTCTGTAGATTCTTTCTCCGTCTTTATTGACGATTGATTGTCAGCAATTTCGTTGGAAATATTTGCTAAAAATGAAAACGGCTGTTGTGGATTTTCTGTAATTCTATTCAAAGAAGCGTACAGTTCTTCAGGAGACATTCCATCAATGTCATATGAAAATGTCATTATTCTTTTGAAATTGTGTTCCGTAATATCTTCTTGAACTGTAGCTTTTTGAATTAATTTACTCGTGATATCTCGTTTTGTACTTTCACTGATAGATAATTTATTGATCATGCTTGGCAGTATTTCAACGGGATCAATTTTTTCATCACGAATAAACTCGTCTTTTCTGTCAAACGTTTGACAGTTCGCCGATTGTAGAGACGGGAAGAACGTTGACGAGCTAGATTTCGCTTATAATAAACAGATTTATTCAAAAATTCTTATACATTTTCAAGTGATAAAATTAGCAAGGAACGTAATTGAAACGTAAAAAAGAAGACACCTTGTTTTCTTCTTTATTTATTGATATATTCCAAAATATTTACTTTCGTTATAATATACGCATACGAACGTTTTGGATCATTTCTCGATCAATCTTCATATTACTTGCTAATTTTGCCACTTTATAATTGTTATATTTTGAGCCAATATTTTCATCTTAATTTTATACATTTTTGTTTGATTAATAATTATTCCATATTATTTTCTATTTTGTTTTGCTATTTTTACTATTAAATTTAAATCAATGTATATCAGTTTACCTTTAGAATTCATGTTGTCAAAAAGAGATTTCTTAATAAAGATTTCTTAATAAATTATGCTCATGTAAAATTCACATGAAAAATCAGGAATTGAAAATATTTTCTCTTCAATATATCCTAAATAAATTCTATCATTTTCCAAACAAATTATGATAGTCGTCACCACTTCAATGTGTTTTCCTACTTTTGTTTGATCGATTTTATCGTACGCATATAGCATGTTACGCGGTATCAGAAAATTAATTCAAAGTACTCTTCCAAATCTGAATCTTAGTATTGATAAAGAGAATTTCAGTATCAATTTTTATTTTTATTTATTATAACATGTTTTGCTCTTTATATAACTCAAAATCATCAAGTATGATGCGGAAAATATGTCAAATGAATGTAAAAACGTATTTACAAAATTATCTTCATTAACTTGATTTAAGCCAAGCCAGTATACATACATTTGAAATGAGAAATGGATAAGTTTATGGAGATCTAGTAACAAACTCGTTAGGCGTTTTAAACATGTATATGTGGCTTTTAAGTTATCACTCGCATCATAAGCTGAAGTCACTTATATAAACTTAGAATAGTACACATGTATATAATATATATATATAGTCTACCAACACAATATTTATATAATTGCATAATTACAATTACTTCACAAATATTAAAATTATCATAATTCCTTCGTTTTTTTCTTTCAATATTTTAGAATTAATCTTCTTGAAAAAATTACAAGGATTGATGCAATTAACAACCTTGCATTTTGAAGAACAAAAAGTAATATTAATCTCGATAATAACAAAAATAAAATTTGAAACAATAAAATTCATCGATAATGAATTATGTAGAATATGGAATTTTACAATTTTTTTGTTATTGCATGTATACTGTGTTATAAACTCTCCTGTATTCGATATAATCCATTACAAAGAAACTGTAAAACTAGCTTTCTTACATGTGTATATATAACTCCTATACACACATATTATATATATATATATATTTATATATTACTATATATAGTATTATATCACAGAGTTTAAAAATAAATAAGTCTCGCATCTTCGGGATTCTGCTCCGCCGGACAGTATGGGCATTTCAATCTGGAAATAAATTGATTTCTTTTAAAAAGTGACTTTAAATCAGCACTTAAAACACTCCGATGTACTCTAGCCTTGCCGCATATGAAAAACTTACTTATTCGTATTAGCGAGTTTATTTAACGCGTCTCGGGAAATAACGTGGCCACAAACCAATTTCATTGGCGGATTATTTTCTGTACTTTGTTGCCTAAGAATGGGACAGGCAAAGACTGAATGATAGCGACTCTGCTTCCCCAAATCTATTTCAATCTATAAACATAGAGAGATCATATAATATATATACACAAAATATCTCTAGTGCAATCTTCATTTTAATAATGGATTCTCCGATAAATTTCGAATCTATTTTTCTTTAATATAAATCCTTTATAAATTTATTGACTTAAATCTTTTGCTATCAATGTAACACAGATACATATATCATATAGAAAAATAAAATTACTAGTGATAGAGTTAAATATTATTTTATGTTATATTTTATGATTTATCAGTTTATTCTGTTAAAAATACTAAAATATAAAAATTATTTATAATCATTAAAGACCATTACCAAAATACAGTAAAATAAACTTCAAATTAATTAAAGAAATTATCATTAAAATTATGATTGTATAAATTGAAGGACAATATGTCACATATGATATAACGTACAGGCAATTCATCTTTACCACTCCAAATGCCAGTTACTTGTCTTTGCTGCATGACTTGTTTGATGTTTAATAATGCAGGTAGTGCAGTGGATCCTGCGTTGATACTGCAATAATTGCACAAATTGAAATGTTTTAAACAGCTCTACAATTTTTTTCTTAAGTAAATAATATATGTACCAGACAGAAAGTGGGCTCTCAACACTTAAGCCTAATAATGTGCATGCTTCCTTGGTGAAAACGTCGTGTATTTCGAGCCATAAAGTCGGATCTAATAAATGACTGTAGGGAGACGATTGGATTCCATGTGGCAAATAAAGTAATGTTCCCATTAAAGACTGTACTTCTTTCTCATAACGTCCAACAAATTGCGTGAGATTTTGACGGGCGTAAAGTATTGCCTCTCTCTGTTTGCTAGGGCCTTGTTGAACTAATCTTATAAAATGTAGTCTGTGTAACTTAAACTCGAGAGAAGAATTCTAAAACAAAATATACAAAACAAGATTTATATATTGTTCATATATTAAGAATGTGCAAATAATATGAAATATTTACAAGTCGAGAAATACCTGTTCCAAAAGTGCTTCTCTATGTTTTTTAGCCCAATCTAATGCAGGTTCCAGATTTTTTTGTTTTAAGCAATCTAATATATAATTTAATTCTGTAAATGCTTCCTTTCGACCTTCAGTTTTAATGCCTGCTTCCTGAAAATATCATCATATTTATAGTCTTGTAGAATTACATAATAAGAATCCATAAATATTGAACCTAAGAAAATAATGGAATAGCAAAATTGAAAAAGTAAAACCATTATTATTCTAGAAATATAACAAGATACTATATACTACATATTAATTTGTATTATTATAACTTATAAATTTATTATTATATTATAGATAATACATAATATATCAATATTTTTGGATTATAAATATATATTAAACATACATATAAATTTGAACAAAGAAACTTACTGCTGCCAATTCATCTGCAATGTTTAACATCCCTTCGCGATAGAAGTGTTGACAGATTACTTGATTTAGAAGATGAGATTTTTCAGGTCCAGAAAACACATCCTCTCTGCTTGTACTTGCAAAATCAGCAATGAAATTTCTATCTATCGCTTTACCCACTTTTGATACAGTACTGTGCAAATCGCGATGATCTGTTGCCAATCTTTGTACAGTGTCGCGTACTTTTGTCATTGCTTGTTTTAACATTTGTACTTGTCCAGCTGTCAGTTCTTGATTAGATGGTGCTAATGAAAAAAAGTCAAACTGTTAGTTTATAATCACACTAAAAAGATATATATATATATAGAGTGTTCGAAAAATCGGCCGCAGTACTTTGGGAAGTGATTCAAAAAGAAGGAAAAAAGATATAAACATAGTTCCAGAAATAAGTTGTTTTTTTATGTTAAAAAAATCGTAATTTATAGTCCGCTTGGCATCCCTCTTTTTAAAATTTTTAAATTTAAATTTTAAATTTAATGACATATACATATATCTCAGATACCAAGTGGTACCAGTCCATCCAAATTCAATTTTAGAGTTATTAGTACATTTTGAGATAGAGACAGTGCATGATCTATCATCCACTAATATAATTACACTAAAGTTATCAAGATTAATCAGATCTACGTAGTTAAATCATTTATATATGTATTTATGTAATTGCAAATATAAAAGTCTTTGTTTCTTAACATTTTGTTTTTTGATTTGTACCATTTTGCATCTGACTGAGTCATTCATATATATATCAATGTATGTGTGTGCATATCTATATATAACAAAAATTTATATATAATTTTGATATAATCATTGATATAACGTATATTATATTTTATACATACTATAAATACGCATCAATTTTTCTTTAAGTAAAATATAAATTCTACAATATTTTCTTTTGTTTCATAAGAGAGAGAGAGAGATTAAATTTAATTTAGCTTTATATATACCATTTTTTTTAAACGATAGAATATATGCTTATACATTTAACATATATGATATCTTTATACATTTAAGATATTAACACTGTATGTGATATATTAATATTGACAGGAAATAATAACAAAAATAAATATAAAAATAAATACTCTACTTTATACTTGAATCTCATTGGATTGCCTTATGATGTAGACTATATGATAATTTATGTGAAGACATTCAGTAAATAAAGTATGCAATCTCCATCACAGAATTCTGTTTAGGAAGGTTAGCAAACTTCAAAATAAACTCACATACATTAATAAACACATACATACAACCACATACATTAGTAAACAACGATCCATTTATTAAAAAATCAATTTAATCCATCGAGAATTGAAGGATATATGCTTCTCGAGAGTTTCGATCATCAAACTCTTTGAAAATTAAGATGAGTATCTAGGGAATGGAAAGAACATTACACAGCGAATCTTTCGACTCCATATTTACCTTCCTCCAGATCTTTTTTCAGGGTTTGAATGTGATTGATCAGGTCGCGTAGCACCGCTTCAGCATGTTCATTTATAGCACCGAACTTCGACAAAACCTTGTCCACTTCGCGCTCGACAGCATTGCACGCCTCCATTATTATTGTGTTGTCGCGATTGACATTTGCATTGCATTTGCACAGAGGAAACCGATGTACGGTCTGATATACGTCCAAGCTAATACAAATTACGCGAAACGAGTTTCTGTCCGATGTGCCAATTGGCTGCACATCCTTCGGAGGAATGGCTGTGATTGGTTCATAGGTGTTTGATTGACGAGAGAGAAGAACGAGATGTCATGGTCCGCTTTTAAATTATTTCTGAAAGCGTCCTCTATAAACATAGAAACGTGAACATGAACTACGAAGCTAATGATATTACCCTCTGAGAATCATGGATTTTCGCTTTGTAGTTCATATCCACATATCCAATGTCCATAGAGGGAGTATCGTTTTCAGGGATCACCTAAAAGTAGGCCATGACACCTCTCAGTCTTATCTCTGATTGGTCAATAAGTGCTTCCAAAATTTTGGCGTCAATAAAAGCACAATTCTTGTTTTTACTTCTCCATCTATAAATTTCTACACGTCTATGGTTTAATCGATGTATCACGTGAACAATACGAAGATTCTCTCATGTGATCCTCCCAGTTTCTGACAGTTCTAAGCGATTCGTACGTGATAGATTCCTCGAATTTCGAGTTTGTTTGCGAAAAGAGAACAATAATTCCATAAAAGTAAAAAATAAAATGGGTGCATCTGCAATTCCTGTACTAATTTTTACGATACTCTGGGGCGCCGTATTATTTCTAGGTGTAGCTTTACCACTTTTCGTTCCCAAGGGACCAAATCGTGGGTAAATAGACTTTATTATTTCCTTTTCCTTTATAATTTTTTTTATACATAAAATACACGAATATTTATTTCTTCTATTTCTCATATAAAGAATCACATTTTAATCATAATCTGAAGTAAAATGAGTATATCTTGAAACGATAACTGTTTTGAGGAAACGTTAGGTATTCTTTAGATAAATCGATGTTCACTAAAATATACATATAATTTAATTAAATTATACATTTATTAATATATACTTTCAGGGTACTTCAGGTTCTGTTAATATTGACAGGTTTTACATGTTGGTTGTTGTAAGTATATTTTTTTGTTATTTTTTGATAATTTGATATGTAATTAATATGTAAATATAACTTTAAATAAAACTTTTGATACAGTTGGCTATGTTGCTACATGGCACAAATGAATCCATTGATTGGGCCAAAATTAGATAATTTAACAATATTAGTTATGGCTCGGGAATGGGTAAGTTTTATAATTAAATTTCTGAGTCAATGTACACATGTTAAAGAATATTTTATTGTTACAGGGTAATCCTCTTCTTAAGTAATGAACATTTCACAGTAGAAACTTGCTTTTTAAATATATATATCCAATTCTTTGACATATGTTGCTTTTAAGAAGGATGTATAGTTGCAAACAAAAACAATATGCTAATACATTAAGATTTGTCCAAATGGAATCTTTATTGATGATAATGATATTCGATTATAATTTGGTTATTGAGAATTTAATTTTTGTATAAAGTATATCCATCATTGTTATTTAGAAATGTGTAAGAATTTTAATGATTGTAGTTATCTGGATTTCCAACTATATATATGTATACTATAATAATGTATATGTGTACGTTAATATTATTTAATCTAATTTAAAAACCTATATATATCATAAGTATCCTATTACACTGTATATAATTGTGAAAGAAAAAAGTTAAAATATATTAGCAACTGCTGTCTTTTATATATTCTTATATTATCTCGTTATCGTCCCATTCTCTTGGTTTTATATTAAATAGATTAAAGAAAACTTTATGTTATATTATTATGTAACAAAAATAATCTATTAATAAATTTCTACATTTGCATATATATAAAGTTGGTAGGTTTGTAAATATTTATTTATATAATAATATTTAAAGTTGTAGGTTTGTAAATATTTATTATCAGGATCATTTCTCTTTTATACTTTTGCATTTGATATAGTGCATTCTTAGAACATATTAAAGATCGGAGCTGATTTGAACAAACATAGCGAAAGTGTTTCCAATCTGTTCTTGTCTGTTTTTTATACGTTTGCACGTAAATAATTGGTGATTGTATTGATTATCATGTTTAATTATTTTAAACGGAAAAATAATAATTAATAATTATTAGAAAAATAATTTTAATAATTATTAGAAAGTTTCAAAATTAAATAGTTAAACTTTGAATTATTAAATATAACAATATACAAAAAACATATTGAGTCATTACATAAATGACAATAATCTCTCTTCAATGTATATTATAATAAGGAAAACTTTAAAATAAATTGATTGATCAGAATAAAAATAAAAATTTCCTTGTCCTCATTAATCAATCAAACGCTATTCTAAGAAGTAAATTTGGAATTCAGAAAGGTTCCATCTGTGACTTTTATAATATAATATTAATTATATATTCTTAATACAATTTAAAGAAGACAAATGTATAAACTGGTATAAATCTAAGCAAGCAAATTTATTTTCTCTTGCTTAATTTATATGTCATACGTGGAAAAATGGAGGAATGAAGTACATGAAAATAACGTTTAACACTTTGAAAACGAGCCATGCAGTATGCCATCAATATAAACCAACATTAATCTTTGCATATGAAAACCAGCGAAATTGGATACATCTTGCAGTGCTTGCACAATCTCTTATGTGTCTGTACACTTGTGTGTGTTCCACGGTTCTCCTGTTGTTTATGCAAAGCTGCGGGTGATTCGACTTTTTATAGTCCTACGTGTCAAGTGTCTACTCAAGGATTAAAGATATCTGGGGAGCGTGATAACTGATCAAATAATCGATTTGCTGTTGTTCCACAAAAGTAAGTAGACAAGTGACATAACGAGTACTACACGCACAGTAGCCACAATGCTATAATAAGGGCGGGGATGTTATTCGAGATGCGGGTCAAATTTCATAATCGGCCTGTATTTCATACCCATTCCCTTTTTCGGGTCAGCAGGCTAATTAAATACATGGAAGAAGAACATTTGACGCAAAAGTGTCATTTATTTCGTCATATATGGGTCCATCTAATGCGAGAGGCTATTTCCCTGGACTTTCCCTCTTGCTTCAGATTAGCTAATTGGCTTAGATGTGAAATAATGACTGATCGTCATGAATGTTATCGGTCTGCATTGGATTACTACGATGACTATTCTATTTTTAGAATTACGTGGCACATCTGATGTCATGATAGATAAAATTAAAAATAAAATAAAAAGATGTTTTATTGAATAAACTAAACAAATTTTATTAACGTACTGTTTAGTTTATTTCGTTTATTGAATAAGTGAATGAACGGGGAAAAATTCCGTCTCTTCTCGAAGAAATCTAATTCCTTTATTTATTCTTGATTTTATCAAAATATTTACAAAACTAACATAAATAAAAGTAGGATTAGGTTGGATTTTATATATATATATATATATATATATATATATATATATATATATATATATATATAATCCAACCTTATATATATATATAAAGTTTTTTGAGAAGCTGATGTACATGTTTATTTTTTATGGTAAAATTAAATAATTATCAGCTCATTAATTTCTTAATATAAATGTAGAATATATAAAATAAAATTAATAATTTGCCTAGTTATAAAATATCATGATTCCTAATTATAAGCTGAAAGAAAGTTCTATGCAAATTTTGAGCTAAATCAGAGGTGATGACCTTGATATAAAAATTTTCAATTTATTCAATTTGTCTTTAATATAATAGCTTTTTTAAATCGCATATTTTCTATATCAAATAGATTAAATTGGAAATATTTTCCCAATTTATATATTTATTGACATTGTTTGGCAGAATTTGAATATATAAGTACATATTTTGTATATTACTGAATTAATAAAACACACACACACACTAATGAAAATTGTAATTATTTGCATATAACATATTTTATTAACAGATGGATATGCATAAAAACGGACCACCGCCACCTTATGAACCACCTCCATATGCACCACCTGCTTATTCCCAGAATGTAGGTGGAGTTCCTCCAGCCAGTCCATTTACGCCAGCACAAGCTTGTAAGCTTAATAAAAATTATATATAGATATTTTGTATTTACATTAATGTTATTAATTAGTATATATACATATATACATATTATTTTATAGATGCAAATGGACCGACTATAGTTACAACTATAGTTCCGGTTGGGCCACACTCAACCCATATGATATGCCCACAGTGCCATGCTGAAATAGATACAACAACAAGAACAGAACCTGGCACGATTGCTTATATTTCAGGAATCGTAATAGCGTTTTTGGGGTAATTATAAAAATACACATAGGTTTATATTTTGCAATGTGTAAAATTATTCTTTCTTTTATATTAGATGTTGGTTTGGTTGCTGCTTGATTCCTTGTTGCATCGATGAATGCATGGATGTTCATCACACTTGTCCAAATTGTAAAGCGTATCTGGGACGTCATAGGAGATAAGCAAGTGGATTGCATTAGCATTCACGAATTGCATTTGAATATTGGAATATCTTTACAATATTGACCACAATTCCAACACATATGTTAAGCTTGATATTGAATCTCTACATTTTGGGAATAATTCTTTAAGTCAAGAAAGTACCATACAGGATGTAGCTTTATACCAATCAGCTATATCTTTAAAACGAAAAATGTATAATATTTAAGTAATTATAGATATTCTACAGTCTAGCACATGCAGTTTAACATTTATAAAATGATCTTGTTGCATATAATTTGATATAATATTTTACACATTTTTATAAAAATATTTACAGCACTTCTGCATTAATAGAATTATTGCATGCAGAATTTTGAATAATAAGAAGCATGCCATTTCAAAGCAAATTTATGTTATGAAAAAAAATATAGTATTAATGTGTGCTTCCTTATTAAGAAAAAAATTTATATTTTTAATTTACTTCCATTAATAGCATAAATAGGCACCAAAGATTCGTGTGGCATTGATTTTTTAAAGATTTACATTGATTTATTTTGAACTTATGTTAGATATCTTTTCTGAAGTATAATAATTTGTGGTATAATATTAAGAAAGCTATAAAATGGTAGGCAACAATACATAGGCAGCTCCTTCTCAAATAATGAAAGATTTCTATAAGTAATTAATGACATGTTCTATTTATCGTGAAAATCCTGATAATCAAGCTTACATTATTATAAATGACTTATGATATTCTTATTTGTTAATTTGTTAGAGATAGATGGCAGCCAATATATTATGCATGTGCTTGAAAATCAAGAAAACTTACTTGTTTAAAAAGATGATGATGTATGTGTGTGCATGTACATAAATATATACATATATATATATATATATATATATATATATATACATATATACACATACATATGTATAATTTACTATATACATATATAATTTTTTTATTTTGTGTGAGCAGGTAAAAATTAATGTGATCAAATAATTTAATATGTTATGAATTTGAAATACTATTGATATTATTTTGAATAATGATATTATTTTGAAAAATTTATATACGCTTTATATATAATAAAGTGGAAAAATAGCCCTTAGTACGTCAAGTAATTGCGAAATTTACTACGCTTGTTTCGCACAGTTCATGCATCGAATCGAAATTGCACCAAGACTTTTTAAACCTCATGTGCTCTATATTACAAAATATTTCTATTTTGTTAACTATGTAAGAAAAAATGTGACCATTAAAATAAATATTAAAATCCAAGAAATATATATGTACATAACTTTTAATAAAAAAATATAATAGTGCAATATATTTAAAAGGAACGAGAATAATATTGTACAATAATAAAATTATTTTACTCTATGCTATATTTATTTTATACTATCCTATTATAATGATACAATACGAAAAATGCCATTGATATATCTAGTTATTTATTTTGAAAAAAAATCATTTTTAAATTAAACTATCAAATATGCCTGAACAAAATATAGCCCCATGATTGCTCATTTCAGTATAGTCCATGTTCCATTTGATGTTTGCAATATTCATAAAATCACTTTATCCTTATCTGCTCATTGCAAGTTAAATAAAGATAACTGATGCTCGCAAAGGGTGGCACCCGATTGACCACGTCAATCAATTGGCCAATTCAAAATAGGACTCTTTGATTGGTTAATCGTTGCTGGTTACCCTAGGCACAGGTCGATATAATTGGCTGTGGTCAATTGCAACGTGGTCAAACGGGACGCTCCCCTCGCAAACGCTTTGAACAAGTGGAACACACTCTATGTATATAGTTAAAGCCTTATCGCACGTGTCTGTCATATGCAACGTAATAAAAGGCGGGAAGAGACATAAAAATTTTTTTATTATGAAAGTGTCAATCATTTAAATATTTTTTATATTGTGATCGACTCTGACTATTAAATTCCCGATATGGCTGATGAATTCCCAGATCAGGACGATGAATACGATTTGATCTGTCAAGCGGATTATGAAGCTCTGAGAGAATTAGAGGGTAAATTCTTTATGATGTAATTTTTTATTATTAGAAAAAATTAATATTTCTTTGTATTTTCTTATTTTATTTTCATCGTATCACATTGAATTATATCATCATATTATCAAATATTTCATTAAATTCAAATTACATAATTGGTTATATTTGTGTGAAGAACTTGAGGCATTGACACAACCTGGTCCTAGTGGATGTCAGCAAACAGCAAAGAGAAACAAAGATCAAGCAAAGCCTTCCATTTCTGTTAATTTTGATAAAGTTATTGATAATGAAGCATTTAGCAGTAATAAAAAACGCAATTATGAAGATTTATATCATAATAGTATACTTGGCAGTAGTAAAAAACGCAATTATGAAGAATTGTCTGGCGACATCTCTGATCTCTCAGGAACAAGTATTTCAGGTATTGCAATAAAAAACTATAATGTAATTATTTTTTGAATGTTATTAGAAAATTTCAATATTTTTTAGCTGATACAAGCAGGAACAAAAATCAAACAAAAACCTCCACTTCTGTTAATTTTGATAAAGTTGACAATGATGCATCTAGCAGTAATAAAAAACATAATTATGATTTATATCATAATAGTATATCTGGCAGTAGTAAAAAACGCAGTTATGAAGAATTGTTTGGTGACATTTCTGATCTCTTAGAAACAAATGTTTCAGGTATCGTATGCAATGAAAAACTATAATACGATTATTCTTTGAATATTATTAGGATCTTAGGAAATTTAATTTTTTTTAGCTGATGTTGATTTTGTCGAAGAACCAAAAGAAAAGAAACTTCGTTGGGATCAGCCTGAAGATGTCATTCAAAAAATATTGGATGCAAGACAATTATTACATGAACACGATGGAGATGCAGTGAAGAAAACAAAATGTGATGAGAAGTAAGGAAAAATTAGTGAAATATATTCTGCTTATTTTTTAGATATTATAGAATATATATCTGATTTAATCCATATTGTATTTATGTTCAATATATAGCAAGAAAAATTCCATTTCTACACGAGTTCCATCATGGAATTTTGTAGCAGTCACAAGATTATATGATTCCCAGCGTTTATACATTAGAGTTAGAAGTAGGCAAAACGACATCAAACAAACAAAAAGGCCAATTACTAATTTATTGTCGATATCTTACAACCAATTAAAAGCTCAAGCGCAGAAAATTGTATGTCTATTAGAATTTTTCTTTATATTGTTTTTGTTATATGTTTTTTTATATGTTTTGTTAATGATATTTTGTTGCATTACAGATGTCGACAAAAAACGAGTTATCAATACAGCCACTATCGAATTTATGTGACACTAATAATGACAACACAATTAATGACGAACTTTGGGTGGATAAGTATCGCCCTCGATCGTATTTAGAATTACTTTCGGATGAAACGGTTAATAGACAGCTCTTATATTGGTTGAAGCTTTGGGATAAAATAGTATTTAATCGAAATATTATAAAACCAAAGAAACAACTTTCTGTGTTTGGAAAGAAAAAGGATATTGACGAAAAAACAGATATCGAGGAAGTGGACAATAGAGGATACCCAATAAAAAGAATAGCTTTACTTAGCGGACCACCTGGATTAGGAAAAACGACTCTAGCGCATATAGCAGCCAGACATGCTGGTTATAATATCGTAGAAATCAATGCGAGTGATGAAAGAAGTCCAGATACATTTAGGTAATGCGTAAAATGTACATGATATTCTTATATTTGAAAATTACATATTTTTATTCCAGACAGATCCTTCTTGCATCAACAGAAATGAAAGCTGTAATAGGCGCGGATCCCCGACCAAATTGTTTAATTTTTGATGAAATTGATGGTGCACCAGCTGCATCCATTGAACTTCTCTTAAAATTCATTCAAGGTAAACTAATATCAAAAAATAAAAAGAGCAAGGGGCAATCGGAGAAAACGTCCGATGGTTGCATACGACCTGTAGTATGCATTTGTAATGAACCATATGCACCAACATTAAGGTAATTCTTTAACTAAAAACTAAATAAAATAGTCACCTAGTTTAGAAATAATATATTTGAATTTAAAAAAAATGTATCATATTTTAAATAAACTGAATTGAATTTCACAGGGCGTTAAGAGCTGCTGCTATAATAATTCCGGTACCGGAAGTAAGTCCTTTAAGATTAGCAGAACGTTTAATGGAGATAGCAAAAAAAGAAAAGTTAAATGTAGACTTTGGCGATCTTGTAAAAATAGCAGAAAGATCTGGTTGTGATGTTCGAGCTTGTGTAGGAGCATTACAATATATGGGTGGCGCTAATTTAAAAGATAATATATCTCTAGGCCTGAAAGATACTCGTAAAAATTTATTTGATTCGTGGAAAAGTATATTAACAATTCCTATGAACAAAAGAGGAGTGATTACTATACCTGAAAGAATCCAGAATATATTAAAGACAGTTCAAAATGGTAATTTTATAAAACTAATTTCTGCGCTTTAAAAGAAATGTATATTGTAATTTCCCTATATAATATTAGAACTGTAAATATATATCTATTAATTTATAAAATGAATATATTTTTTACTTATTTAGGTGAATCGGAAAAATTGGCACAAGGAATTTTTCACAATTATCCTGAAATTTGTGATAGGAAACTTGATAACGTATCCGTATCTCTAGAATGGTTTCAATTTTACGATTTAATAACATCGCTTGTCACACACAAGCAAGTTTGGTCACTTATGCCTTACACGAATTACGGATTTGTTGCATGGCATTTGCATCTTGCGCGAACGCAGAAAGTAAAATTATCCTATCCTACTATCATTAGCGAAGTAAGTATTACCTAATTAAGAGAAAATTTTAATTTAAGAATTACTCAAGTTGATTAACAATTTGTACATATATACAATTGATTCATATATTCTGAACGTTTAATCACATTGCTATCATCTTCTATTTTCTTTCAGGTAATTCAGAAATCGGCGAAAAACATAGGTATTTTAACGGCGGTACGAAGAGCATGCGGACGCGATGCTTTTACTCTAGTTACAGACATTGCTGGTTTTTTACCAGCTCTCCTAGCACCCAAATTACGTATAGTGCCTTCTCATTTATATTCGTCGAAGGAAAAAGCTGATCTCGTTAGAATAATAAACGTAATGCTTGATTTTGGCTTATCATTCGTGCAAGAAAAGAATCCTCAAGGAGGCTACATCTATAATTTAGATCCGTATGTTGCAATATTGAGACAATAATAAATAATGCATATGCGTACACACACACACACACACACACACACACACACACACACACACACACACACACACACACACACACATATTTCAGCATTCTATTTAAAATTCGTAAATATTTTTAGTAACATTTTGGAAGTCGGTGTCCTGCCCAATTGCAACCCGCATCGATATCTAGCGTATGCAGTACAGCAAATAATTGCGCAAGAATTGGAAGTAGAGCGTTTAAAGCGGGCGAGTATCTTGACAGGAATCAGTGGAGTTAGCTTGTTAGAAAATACGACAAATTCAGGGGAATCTGAAAATACAAAAAATAATAAAGATAATACAAAAAATACAAAAAATAATAAGGATAACTCTTCTAATTCACTGAATAGCACAAAATCAGGAAAAAATGCGACGTCGTTAAAGGAAGTAGTAAGTCTCTTGCCTATCTTTTTTAATACATTTTATACAATTGAAATTCGTATAATGTACTATAATTATAAACTATAATTATAATATTCTTTCATTTTATATTAAAATTTCAGGTATATAAAGATTTTTTCGGGAATATTATTACGAATAAGAACGAAAATAAAATGACGAATCGTATTTCTCCAAAATCGCAAAAAGGATATTCCCTAATGCAAAATATTTTAACAAAACACGGAATATGGTACAAATATAAAGAAGGCTGCAATAATGCTGTTCGTCGAAGTGTATTCATGGAAAAACTCTTGTAAATAGAAATATTTTCCTGCAGCTTTTGCTATAATTACCAAATTGAAAATTTTGATAATAAAATAATTTAATTATAAACTAATTGTAGAAAGTATATTAATTGAATTAAACTTGTTTCTTTGTACTTATAAAAATCCTAAAAATCCTAAAAATGTAAAACTATACATTCTTTTTCTTTTCATGTATTAATAGCTTTTAAATATTTTTTGTGAATACGTCATATCCCATGGCAGCAAATTTTCCGGATTTCTAGTGACAACGAGCAGACTTTGATGTTACTAAATTTACTATAACACAAAGTACAGTCCGGGAACAATTGGCAATAATATTTTTGAATTATATATAATTTTATAATTTTGTAACTCTTTTAAAATCGAAAGTAGTGAAAGATTTTGCACTGGAAGTAAGATGAATGTATATATTCGAAATTGTAAAAAGAAAAAAACTTAGAGTGCAGAAAGTACTACTCAAACGAACATATCCATAGTGAAAGCGTGGAGGCGATGCGATGCGCATGCGCTCAACGCTGATTGGAGCTGACCGAAGCCGACCGAGCCTGCACAGAGAGACTGAGAGATGTCGTGGCTCGCTTTATCCCTGGAAGTGATACTCCCTCTATGAACATTAACAACAAAATATGAACTACAAAACAAATGTCCACGAAGGTTCTCAGAGGATAACATATATGTCCCTCTGATAATATAAATAAAAATATAAATAATTTAATTAATAATAATTTATTATATAAAAATATTAATATGTTCTCTCTTTTCCTTGCTATTATTTATATTATATATTTATATTATATATTTATATTATATGTATAAATATTACATTTAAGTGTGAGTCCAAGAAGCAAATTTCGGATATTCACTGTAAGTCAGCCGCTCTTCGGGCGATCGGGACGAGATTTAAACGGTAGTGCCGCGAAATGGTATAGAATTTTATGCAAAAAGAACGAAATCGCGTCTGGAAGTCGAGATATAAATTCGCTGTTTTTCGTCTGCGCGCGGACGGTCGAAATCGTGCACGACGCCGCGCATGTTGCCTGCCTATCTCGCGCGATATTCACTGTAACGCGGCGAGTAAAATGGCAAGCCGAATGTAATCGTTCGATTAATTTATTAAATACTTATATATACCGAACGAAAAGATGAATCGGAATGCAATCGTTCGATTAATTAATTAAATATAGATACTACGATCGCGGCGAAGCGGTGGGCGGGTCGCTCTCCGAAACATGATGGTGGTTTGCGATATATCGTGATTGTTCCGTGATACATCAATCGTTCATAATTAATTAATTTAAAATAAAATATACTTCTATTTAAAATGTTGCGTGTATATATAGTACGCAAAATATTTCGGCAGAGAATTATCAATTAATATCATATGTTTGGCCTTGACGACGTATAGCAAGCGGCTATACATGTCATAGCTTTGCCATCATTCACACGGTGACACTCGAATATAGAAAAATATTTAACAACATGATAATTAAGTAAAGAGCATTAAGAGCCCACAAACCAATTGCGTTGATGACCTCTTTACAAATCATGTTCTCCTAATAACGCAAGCGTAAAAATTTTTGAAAATTCGTTTCTTATTATTTTATATTATCAGGAGAATATATTTTGCGACGAGGTCGATGATGCGTTGATGACCTCTTTACAAATCATGTTCTCCTAATAACGCAACCGTAAAAATTTTCGAAAATTCGTTTCTTATTATTTTATATTATCAGGAGAATATATTATGCGAGAAGGTCGAAAATGCGTTGATGACCTCTTTACAAATCATGTTCTCCTAATAACGCAAGCGCGAAAATTTTCGAAAATTCGTTTCTTATAATTTATATTATCAGGAGAATATATTGTGCGAGGAGGTCGATGATGCGTTGATAACCTCTTTACAAATCATGTTCTCCTAATAACGCAAACGTGAAAATTTTCGAAAATTCGTTTCTTATAATTTATATTATCAGGAGAATATATTGTGCGAGGAGGTCGATGATGCGTTGATGACCACTTTACAAATCATGTTCTCCTAATAACGCAAACGTGAAAATTTTCGAAAATTCGTTTCTTATAATTTATAGTATCAAGAGAATATATTTTGCGAGGAGGTCGATGATGCGTTGATGACCTCTTTACAAATCATGTTCTCCTAATAACGCAAGCGTGAAAATTTTCGATAATTCGTTTCTTATTATTTTATATTATCAGGAGAATATATTTTGCGAGGAGGTCGATGATGCGTTGATGACCTCTTTACAAATCATGTTCTCCTAATAACGCAAGCGTGAAAATTTTCGATAATTCGTTTCTTATTATTTTATATTATCAGAAGAATATATTTTGCGAGGAGGTCGAAGATGCGTTGATGACCTCTTTACAAATCATGTTCTCCTAATAACGCAAGCGTGAAAATTTTCGAAAATTCGTTTCTTATTATTTTATATTATCAGGAGAATATATTTTGCGAGGAGGTCGAAGATGCGTTGATGACCTCTTTACAAATCATGTTCTCCTAATAACGCAAGCGTGAAAATTTTCGAAAATTCGTTTCTTATTATTTTATATTATCAGGAGAATATATTTTGCGAGGAGGTCGAAGATGCGTTGATGACCTCTTTACAAATCATGTTCTCCTAATAACGCAAGCGTGAAAATTTTCGAAAATTCGTTTCTTATTATTTTATATTATCAGGAGAATATATTTTGCGAGGAGGTCGAAGTTGCGTTGATGACCTCTTTACAAATCATGTTCTCCTAATAACGCAAGCGCGAAAATTTTCGAAAATTCGTTTCTTATAATTTATATTATCAGGAGAATATATTGTGCGAGGAGGTCGATGATGCGTTGATGACCTCATTACAAATCATGTTCTCCTAATAACGCAAACGTGAAAATTTTCGAAAATTCATTTCTTATAATTTATAGTATCAAGAGAATATATTTTGCGAGGAGGTCGATGATGCGTTGATGACCTCTTTACAAATCATGTTCTCCTAATAACGCAAGCGTGAAAATTTTCGATAATTCGTTTCTTATTATTTTATATTATCAGGAGAATATATTTTGCGAGGAGGTCGATGATGCGTTGATGGCCTCTTTACAAATCATGTTCTCCTAATAACGCAAGCGTGAAAATTTTCGAAAATTCGTTTCTTATAATTTATATTATCAGGAGAATATATTGTGCGAGGAGGTCGATGATGCGTTGATGACCTCTTTACAAATCATGTTCTCCTAATAACGCAAACGTGAAAATTTTCGAAAATTCGTTTCTTATTATTTTATATTATCAGGAGAATATATTTTGCGAGGAGGTCGATGATGCGTTGATGACCTCTTTACAAATCATGTTCTCCTAATAACGCAAGCGTGAAAATTTTCGAAAATTCGTTTCTTATAATTTATATTATCAGGAGAATATATTGTGCGAGGAGGTCGATGATGCGTTGATGACCTCTTTATAAATCATGTTCTCCTAATAACGCAAGCGTGAAAATTTTCGATAATTCGTTTCTTATTATTTTATATTATCAGGAGAATATATTTTGCGAGGAGGTCGATGATGCGTTGATGACCTCTTTACAAATCATGTTCTCCTAATAACGCAAGCGTGAAAATTTTCGAAAATTCGTTTCTTATTATTTTATATTATCAGGAGAATATATTTTGCGAGGAGGTCGAAGATGCGTTGATGACCTCTTTACAAATCATGTTCTCCTAATAACGCAAGCGTGAAAATTTTCGAAAATTCGTTTCTTATAATTTATATTATCAGGAGAATATATTGTGCGAGGAGATCGATGATGCGTTGATGACCTCTTTGAAAATCCTGTTCTCCTAATAATGCAAACGTGAAAATTTTCGAAAATTCGTTTCTTATAATTTATATGATCAGGAGAATATATTGTGCGAGGAGATCGATGATGCGTTGATGACTTCTTTACAAATCCTGTTCTTTTTTTTTTTTTTTTTTTGTTTAACGACGGGGAAAATGCATTACGCACACCCCCCCGAGGTGCGTACGGCGCACCAAGGGGGGGTAGTGTTGGACTCCCCGGCCCTTAGGAGAGAGCTAGCCCCTCTCCCAGGTGTGCAATGCCGGGTATACCAACTAAAAACCCCGTCGAGCAGACTCACGTGCTGCTAATGCCCCGCCTCCAGGAAACGGAAACCATGACTTCTGGAGGCAGAGCAGCCCGGCCCAATTAAGGGCCCCAACTCATCGGGTGGCCGTCACCCGATCTACTCCCTGGGGGGGGAGCGGAGGGAACAATTCAGCGTGTTTTGAATCGCTCCCTCCGGTCCCGCCACAAATCATGTTCGCCTAATAACGCAAACGTGAAAATTTTCGAAAATTCGTTTCTTATAATTTATAGTATCAAGAGAATATATTTTGCGAGGAGGTCGATGATGCGTTGATGACCTCTTTACAAATCATGTTCTCCTAATAACGCAAGCGTGAAAATTTTCGATAATTCGTTTCTTATTATTTTATATTATCAGGAGAATATATTTTGCGAGGAGGTCGAAGATGCGTTGATGACCTCTTTACAAATCATGTTCTCCTAATAACGCAAGCGTGAAAATTTTCGAAAATTCGTTTCTTATTATTTTATATTATCAGGAGAATATATTTTGCGAGGAAGTCGAAGATGCGTTGATGACCTCTTTACAAATCATGTTCTCCTAATAACACAAGCGTGAAAATTTTCGAAAATTCGTTTCTTATTATTTTATATTATCAGGAGAATATATTTTGCGAGGAGGTCGAAGTTGCGTTAATGACCTCTTTACAAATCATGTTCTCCTAATAACGCAAGCGCGAAAATTTTCGAAAATTCGTTTCTTATAATTTATATTATCAGGAGAATATATTGTGCGAAGAGGTCGATGGTGCGTTGATGACCTCTTTACAAATCATGTTCTCCTAATAACGCAAACGTGAAAATTTTCGAAAATTCGTTTCTTATAATTTATAGTATCAAGAGAATATATTTTGCGAGGAGGTCGATGATGCGTTGATGACCTCTTTACAAATCATGTTCTCCTAATAACGCAAGCGTGAAAATTTTCGATAATTCGTTTCTTATTATTTTATATTATCAGGAGAATATATTTTGCGAGGAAGTCGAAGATGCGTTGATGACCTCTTTACAAATCATGTTCTCCTAATAACGCAAGCGTGAAAATTTTCGAAAATTCGTTTCTTATTATTTTATATTATCAGGAGAATATATTTTGCGAGGAGGTCGAAGATGCGTTGATGACCTCGTTACAAATCATGTTCTCCTAATAACGCAAGCGTGAAAATTTTCGAAAATTCGTTTCTTATTATTTTATATTATCAGGAGAATATATTTTGCGAGGAGGTCGAAGATGCGTTGATGACCTCTTTACAAATCATGTTCTCCTAATAACGCAAGCGTGAAAATTTTCGAAAATTCGTTTCTTATTATTTTATATTATCAGGAGAATATATTTTGCGAGGAGGTCGAAGTTGCGTTGATGACCTCTTTACAAATCATGTTCTCCTAATAACGCAAGCGCGAAAATTTTCGAAAATTCGTTTCTTATAATTTATATTATCAGGAGAATATATTGTGCGAGGAGGTCGATGATGCGTTGATGACCTCATTACAAATCATGTTCTCCTAATAACGCAAACGTGAAAATTTTCGAAAATTCGTTTCTTATAATTTATAGTATCAAGAGAATATATTTTGCGAGGAGGTCGATGATGCGTTGATGACCTCTTTACAAATCATGTTCTCCTAATAACGCAAGCGTGAAAATTTTCGATAATTCGTTTCTTATTATTTTATATTATCAGGAGAATATATTTTGCGAGGAGGTCGATGATGCGTTGATGGCCTCTTTACAAATCATGTTCTCCTAATAACGCAAGCGTGAAAATTTTCGAAAATTCGTTTCTTATAATTTATATTATCAGGAGAATATATTGTGCGAGGAGGTCGATGATGCGTTGATGACCTCTTTACAAATCCTGTTCTCCTAATAATGCAAACGTGAAAATTTTCGAAAATTCGTTTTTTATAATTTATATGATCAGGAGAATATATTGTGCGAGGAGGTCGATGATGCGTTGATGACCTCTTTACAAATCCTGTTCTCCTAATAATGCAAACGTGAAAATTTTTGAAAATTCGTTTCTTATAATTTATATGATCAGGAGAATATATTGTGCGAGGAGGTCGATGATGCGTTGATGACTTCTTTACAAATCATTTTCTCCTAATAACGCAAACGTTAAAATTTTCGAAAATTCGTTTCTTATAATTTATAGTATCAAGAGAATATATTTTGCGAGGAGGTCGATGATGCGTTGATGACCTCTTTACAAATCATGTTCTCCTAATAACGCAAGCGTGAAAATTTTCGATAATTCGTTTCTTATTATTTTATATTATCAGGAGAATATATTTTGCGAGGAGGTCGAAGATGCGTTGATGACCTCTTTACAAATCATGTTCTCCTAATAACGCAAGCGTGAAAATTTTCGAAAATTCGTTTCTTATTATTTTATATTATCAGGAGAATATATTTTGCGAGGAAGTCGAAGATGCGTTGATGACCTCTTTACAAATCATGTTCTCCTAATAACACAAGCGTGAAAATTTTCGAAAATTCGTTTCTTATTATTTTATATTATCAGGAGAATATATTTTGCGAGGAGGTCGAAGTTGCGTTAATGACCTCTTTACAAATCATGTTCTCCTAATAACGCAAGCGCGAAAATTTTCGAAAATTCGTTTCTTATAATTTATATTATCAGGAGAATATATTGTGCGAAGAGGTCGATGGTGCGTTGATGACCTCTTTACAAATCATGTTCTCCTAATAACGCAAACGTGAAAATTTTCGAAAATTCGTTTCTTATAATTTATAGTATCAAGAGAATATATTTTGCGAGGAGGTCGATGATGCGTTGATGACCTCTTTACAAATCATGTTCTCCTAATAACGCAAGCGTGAAAATTTTCGATAATTCGTTTCTTATTATTTTATATTATCAGGAGAATATATTTTGCGAGGAAGTCGAAGATGCGTTGATGACCTCTTTACAAATCATGTTCTCCTAATAACGCAAGCGTGAAAATTTTCGAAAATTCGTTTCTTATTATTTTATATTATCAGGAGAATATATTTTGCGAGGAGGTCGAAGATGCGTTGATGACCTCGTTACAAATCATGTTCTCCTAATAACGCAAGCGTGAAAATTTTCGAAAATTCGTTTCTTATTATTTTATATTATCAGGAGAATATATTTTGCGAGGAGGTCGAAGATGCGTTGATGACCTCTTTACAAATCATGTTCTCCTAATAACGCAAGCGTGAAAATTTTCGAAAATTCGTTTCTTATTATTTTATATTATCAGGAGAATATATTTTGCGAGGAGGTCGAAGTTGCGTTGATGACCTCTTTACAAATCATGTTCTCCTAATAACGCAAGCGCGAAAATTTTCGAAAATTCGTTTCTTATAATTTATATTATCAGGAGAATATATTGTGCGAGGAGGTCGATGATGCGTTGATGACCTCATTACAAATCATGTTCTCCTAATAACGCAAACGTGAAAATTTTCGAAAATTCGTTTCTTATAATTTATAGTATCAAGAGAATATATTTTGCGAGGAGGTCGATGATGCGTTGATGACCTCTTTACAAATCATGTTCTCCTAATAACGCAAGCGTGAAAATTTTCGATAATTCGTTTCTTATTATTTTATATTATCAGGAGAATATATTTTGCGAGGAGGTCGATGATGCGTTGATGGCCTCTTTACAAATCATGTTCTCCTAATAACGCAAGCGTGAAAATTTTCGAAAATTCGTTTCTTATAATTTATATTATCAGGAGAATATATTGTGCGAGGAGGTCGATGATGCGTTGATGACCTCTTTACAAATCCTGTTCTCCTAATAATGCAAACGTGAAAATTTTCGAAAATTCGTTTTTTATAATTTATATGATCAGGAGAATATATTGTGCGAGGAGGTCGATGATGCGTTGATGACCTCTTTACAAATCCTGTTCTCCTAATAATGCAAACGTGAAAATTTTTGAAAATTCGTTTCTTATAATTTATATGATCAGGAGAATATATTGTGCGAGGAGGTCGATGATGCGTTGATGACTTCTTTACAAATCATTTTCTCCTAATAACGCAAACGTTAAAATTTTCGAAAATTCGTTTCTTATAATTTATAGTATCAAGAGAATATATTTTGCGAGGAGGTCGATGATGCGTTGATGACCTCTTTACAAATCATGTTCTCCTAATAACGCAAGCGTGAAAATTTTCGATAATTCGTTTCTTATTATTTTATATTATCAGGAGAATATATTTTGCGAGGAGGTCGAAGATGCGTTGATGACCTCTTTACAAATCATGTTCTCCTAATAACGCAAGCGTGAAAATTTTCGAAAATTCGTTTCTTATTATTTTATATTATCAGGAGAATATATTTTGCGAGGAGGTCGAAGATGCGTTGATGACCTCTTTACAAATCATGTTCTCCTAATAACGCAAGCGTGAAAATTTTCGAAAATTCGTTTCTTATTATTTTATATTATCAGGAGAATATATTTTGCGAGGAGGTCGAAGATGCGTTGATGACCTCTTTACAAATCATGTTCTCCTAATAACGCATTTAAAAAAAAAAAAAAAAAAAAAAAAAATTTCGCGAACAATTAATGTTCGAAATAATTTACGCATTTCCAATCGCGTTTTGTGGGCTCTTAATGTTCTTTACTTAATTATCATGTTGATAAATACATAGAGCCGTATTATTTACCTATTTATTTTGAAAAATATTTATTTCATCTTTGAATATTACAGTATCTGTCGCGATTGAATAATTTATTTATTATCAATTTACACACATAAGTATTTAATTGTTATATAGCACTGGTGCTACCGGCATTTCGTACACATAGCACGGAACAAAACCAGAAATTGTGCAATTATATATTACCCTCTGAGAACATTCATGGCCTTTGACTTTGTAGTTCATGTCCATTTGAATGTCCATAGAGGGAGTATCACTTTTGTGGTCACTCCATAGCTTGGACATGAACCATAGCTCAGACACGAACCACGTATTATTATCGACTGTAATGAATGTAGTTGACGTCCACTTTGTCTGGGAGCGCATTAGGACAATATACCCGTTAAAGCGAGGTGGCCGCTCTCAGGTTTCTCTGTAACGAATGTTCAAAGTTGGAGCAGTTGGGAGATTTAACAGTCGTCGTCAAATCGCGGGTCGCAGGTTGATTTTCATCAGAACCTAGAATATCTGACAAGAGAGCACAAAGGCATAAATATGTCAGATCCGGAATTGGAAGCGATACGACAGCAACGGTTGATGCAGTTGCAGTCTCAATATAAGGTAATCGCTACGAGATTCCACAAGAGTTTGTAGCAGAAAAAAAATTTTTGAATTATATACGTTCTGCTTGATAATTATTTAAGTACGTCATTTGACACATAAAAGCTAAATGTATATAATGTATGAAATTAAACATATTACTTTGTGTATATTTTACAAAAGAATATATATCAAAAGGAAAAAAAAAATATATATACACATATATTATTATTCTAGGATAATAATGTCGACAATAAACAAGCAATGGAAGAGAGAATGCAACGTATGGAAGAGATGAAACATACTATATTGGCTCAAGTATTGGATCAGTCAGCCAGAGCGAGGTGTAAGTTATATCATATAACCCTTTTTTTTGGCATTACTTTTTGGCAACACTACAGGATATGACATCACAGATATTCATGATATATAGGTATATTAGCTAATAATGTATATATATATATTTATCCATAGTAAACACACTTTGTCTTGGGAAACCAGAGAAAGGAAAAATGGTAGAAGAAATGATTCTGAATATGGCACAAAATCGTCAATTACCTGGGAAGCTCGGAGAGCAACAATTAATCAATTTACTTGAGAGTTTAAATCAACAGACACAAAAGAAAACAATTGTCAAAGTTAGTAATCAATATAAATTATTTATGCATCTAATATTATATAAAAAATATTTATGCATCTAATATAATCTAAAATAACAATACTAAAATTTTACTTTATTTTTTTAGTTTGATAGAAGAAGAGCAGCTTTGGATTCAGATGATGATATGGACTTGTAGCAAATGTACAAATTTTTTATCTGAAATATTGCTTTAATCACAATTTAATATTTTTATCCTTGATTTGAATGTGCAGTTGAAGGTAATCTTTTACAGTACATACTTTTATGCTTAGTTGTATACTTTACTTTTATGCTATAAAAATAAAAATTATTAATGCTAATTTGGCAGATTTTGGTATAGATATAAGGGAAGACTATTTAAAATTATCTCCTACTTTTTATAATGAAAATATTTCATATATCCATATATGTAGTAACATAACAAATATTTATTTTGTATTTTTTTTTTTTATTTGGTACATATAAATATACATTCAGCAATCGCCTAACACGCAAGAGATTATTTTTCTTTCTCAAATAGAAATTGCACAATCACACTTGCAGTCTACACAATACAACAAACAACAATTTCGCACAATTTACACAATTTTAAATATATTATATATTACCATTAGTTTGTCCTTATATATAAAAAAACAATATTTGATGTTTAATTCGATCTTTCACATATGTGAATGATCGTGTCTAATATACAAATTTTTGATATATCTTATACTCTCTTTTTTTTAAAGCTGTGTTAAAAGACAAATCCAAGTGTACTTAACTCGGTTGTATTGTCTCGTGGAATACGCTTCATTTTTTTAATAACATAATCATAAAAGAAATTAATACATATACACAAAGATGGATTTACCAAAAATAAAAATGGAATGTTAGCGATAAACATTATATTATAAAAATTCTTATAGTCTTAAAACTGCTTTGGCAAATTTTTTTTTAAGAACGTATTACATAATCAAAAATGTTTATATATGCTATATATAATAAAAAATTTGTATCTCGAAACTTGTATTTCTGTATAGTATATATCTATAATTAATTTTAGTCATTCTTCATATGACTTGTTCCAGCATTTTCTGAAAAGAATACAAAATAATTACATATGTTTATTATTTTTTTATAAAAATTAATAGACTCTTTTCGTGATAGAAAAATTATACCATCTTCTTCATCATTTGCATCCAAGATATCTGGACAACAAATGCCATAACATATTAACGATAAGAATCCAACTGGTAATCCGACTAATACAGTCATCAAAATAGGATTGCCCTTCCACATTGAAGCCAGAGTGGTTTTCAATTCAAACCAGGTTCTATAACTACGCACTAGCCAATTGTTTCCACCAAATCGCTGAAAATTCATTAATCATAATAAGTTTTTATTGTTATTCTTTTCATAAATTATTAAGATTTAGCAGAATTATTAAGAAAATATATAATAAAAGATGTGTACCGGAGCACTTTCATTGCGAATTTGTTCTAGAAACAATTCTATCACGTATGGAGTCAGTTTCTCTGTTTCATCCTCGGGAATGTGATGGTGATTAGTAGTTGTATTTATCACAATTAAGCTCGGTAAAGGTAATACCATCATCGCTATACTATTGACTAGATCGGGACTAGCTATCCAACCAAACTGAAAATGACTGAATAAAACTATAATGTTAATTTACATCCAGTGTTTCTATAAGAATTATGCTATCAAGCAAACGTACTCGTGGTATTTCTCCCGTTTGCTCTTAATCACAGATTCGACCATGTTCCTGAATTCCAGCATATCGGGCGCAACTTCTTCTAGTTGATTTTCTTCAACTACCGCTAAAACAAGATTCTTATTTGTTAAGAATAATTGATTTATGTTTCCTCTGGTCACCTTTGGAAACGTTGGAAAACGTTCCGCATTCACCCATTTGTAAAGCGTCTCGTTCATTTTCTCTATGTCACTTAAATTATGCCCTGCAAATTAAATTACATTCGTATTAATTAAGGATAATAATAATAAATACATCTTTTTTTCCTTCAAAATTCTCACCAGTAAAATTGTAATGTGAACTTTCCTTATACACGAATAATGCCGGGACATTTTCTACAGGTGCATGTTTATTTACAACGCTCGGATGAGATTGATAAAAGAATGCATGCGGTTGAAATATATTTGCAGTCTTGTGATAAAGTTCCTGTATTTGTTCAATGCATTTAAATATATATGTAAATTTATTTAAATATTATTTATTTAAATATATATGTAAATATATGTAAATTTGTGGATTTTTCAAACTCAAAATTTTCGTAAAATTGTGAAAAGAGTTTACCCATAAGACTCCAGATCTACCACCGACGTATAAGAAATAGAGATCGCGTTCTCTCTTTATAGTGTCAAAGCTCTGAGGTCTCGTCACCTCTTGCACGGGAGGACCGCTGAGTCTTAAAGCAAATTTGACTATTTCATCTCTAGTTCTGTCACCATGATATATATACTCTTGATCACCCTTTAAACTGTAAATTGAAGATATTATTGTATGAATATTTAGTAGCCAGAGAGAAAGGTGTACTTACAATAGAATGGTGGGAAATCCTTTGATTTTGAATGAACTTGCCACGCTAGTAAATCTAGTACAATCCACACGTCCTACACGTATTGACGTTGCATGCAAATGCTGAGCAACATGAGACCAAATTGGTTCCAATCTTTTGCAATGCGCACACCATGGTGCATACATCTACAAAATAGAAATAGGTATATGTTTTAAAGACATAGAATGGCATATATTTAATATTTAAGATATATATTTTTCAAATATACCATGACCAGCCATTGTCCATCTTTGTGTATATCCAGAAATCTACAAGAAACAAAATATATTAAATGACTAGTATCTTCTATAATTCAACAAGGTAAACAGTACATAATATTGGCAGATTTCTTACCTGTCACTCAGCTCGATTACGCGCGAGCCTGCCGTGTGCATCAAAATTGCTGAAAAAGCTAAAATGTAATTAGATGATAACAAGCTTACGTAGAAATATTTCTCGTCGCTAGGATTATGCAAAAACCGAATAACTAAATTAAATCAAATTATTTATGTAAACAAGGTTTCGTAGCTTATATTTTTACTATTTGTGAATATACAAAAACTTAAAAAATAAAGGTATACATCTGTCACTACAATTATATAAATGAAATTGAGTGACGTTTCAAGTGAAACATTTTATCAATTAATTTGAAGTAGATAAACAAAGATGTTTTTTAATTATGAAATTAGGAAAGATATCTCTTTGTGAAATAAAATCGAGTTATCCAAATTAAATTAAATGTCCAGATTTGGCTGGCAAATAGAATTTAGAATTTTCTTATAAATTCAGAGATGTATAATAAAATTAAAATGCAAACAAATATGTTAAATTTTTTATATGCATACAATTATAAATATAAATTAATATTATATAAATTATTATTAACATAAATTAACATTTTCTGCGTGTCAATGAAAATTAGACGAGCATCAAGCGACACAAATATCGATCGTATAAGATTACGTCGCGCGCGCAAAATTATCAATAAATCGCGTGGCGCATTTTATCTTGACGCAGAAAGGACAGAGGCAACATTTTTCGGAGTTCGTGGCCGACAGCCGCTTACCATAGAGAAGCGTAACGAAAGAGATTCGCGTGAGGGAAACCATTCCGATCGCGGATTCGAGATGTCGAGATAATAGGAAAGTCAGCCTCCTTCATCTGATCCCTCGGTAACACGAGCGTGTTGAACGACGTTGCATAATTTTCCTTTCCGATGCACGCGGACGGATTTGTTTGCGACAAGCACTCCCCGTCCCTTCGACTCGTCACGCGAAACGATCGAACGCGTTCTGTCGCATCTTCTCGTATTACGTTGGTATGTATGCGCGACGCGTATCGTGTCACCGGCCAGCTGTTTTAACTGCACTCCACTGCACTTTTTTTCCCTTTAAAACAACGCTTGGAAGCGAAACGGAGGATATAAATTCGAATCTTGGAAAAGGAGGACTGTAAAAAAAGTGCACGATAGGTACAACTACGTGGTATGTATGTATATAAGACGGAACAAAGTGCACAAAGTATAAATATGTAAGCTCTGGCTAAATATAATTAGGATTTGAGACAGTAATTATTACGCTACTAAAATAAACAAATGTATACAAGAGACAAATCAGTTCAAAGACGTCATATTCTGATCACTTATTTTAAAACATAATTTGTAGAAAAAAATAGAAAATAAATATATATTTCTATTATATATAATTTTATTAATAAAAATCTCCGGATGTATAAATATGTAAGCTCTGGCTAAATATAATTAGGATTTGAAAGACAGTAATTACGCTACTAAAATAAACAAATGTATACAAGAGATAAATCAGTTCAAAGACGTCATATTCTGATCACTTATTTTAAAATATAATTTGTAGAAAAAAAATAGAAAATAAATATATATTTCTATTATATATAATTTTATTAATAAAAATCTCCTCCGATACATATATCATTGGTATAAAACATTCACATGATCAAAACAAAAAATATATGTAGAAGGAATATAGCGCTGTAACATATTCCTTCATAGAACGTAACTATTTTCACATTCTATAAGTATAACAAGTCGCATCTTCTTTTTTTTTCATCTTTTTGTATGTACATTTTGTAATAAATTAGCGACAATTTCAAGTTAAGTGATGTAACTTTTTCCAAGTGTACTGCACCTCTTTTTCTGTAATGTACAAGAAAATCAATTAAACCGGTATCACTACGTTAACATTGTATAGCACACGTAGTTAGGACCCAATGGGGCGACTCCTCCCATCTTTCCTATCTCTTTCATCAATGAATTACATTTTAGGTCTATTGTTTCCTCGCATGTCGATCCATCGAGGCCCAAAATAGATCAAGCGAGAATAAAGTCGCTATAATCACAATGTCGCCAGACGCAACGCAAAAACGTATGGCACTCTTATCTAGTATTCTCTTTTGTTATACATGTCATGAATATGTTATAATAAAAAGTAAATCGGCCCGCCTGAGAAAAGAGCCGCAATCGAGAAAAAGCGTTATTTGAGCGAAATTGACTGACGAGATCCGATTTAGCCGTCTTCCTCTTATAACCCGGGATTAACTGGCATCGGAATTTTGTCGCCACTTCTGTACCGCCTCTCGGCGCGCATCGGGCACCAACGACGATCGCATGCCACCCAACACGTTGCTGGTCGCCTCTGTGGCCAGGATGATCGGTTTTACGACCGTCGGCGGAATTTGTCGCAGTACACCACCAACCGCACCGACCGTGCCCTTGTGCTCGTGTTCCTCACTCGCCACCCGAACCAACTGAGTCGCAGTCTCGCCTAGACCCTGAATAATCAAATATTATAAATATTATAAATCAGGATATTATAGAGAAGAGGGAATCAAAAATAGCTAAAATAAAATTTAAGATTAATTAAAGATTTATTTAAAAGATAAATAAATATAGTAGATTTATAAAATAAATAAATAAAATAGATTTCTTTAAATTATATTTAGCCAGAGCTTACATATTTATACATTAAAAAGATTTATTCATTAAAAAGATGCGCGAAGGAGAGAAAGAATGTATGAAAATGAAGAATAAATATGTGAAAAAAAAAGATGAGAAGTAGAAAGTACATATTTTGTAAGAATAAAAGTTTATGATATAAGATAGAATATAAATTTATCGATTAAAATATATAAGAGATATTATATATTATTATGTATTTGCAATGCATATGTAATTTTCGAATTTGTCTCACCTCTTTTACCAATGTGTAAGCGTTAGCTACTCCCTCTCGAATGTCAAGTGGCTGACTGTATCTCTTTCGACGACCCTTTTGCCCCTTATTTTTGCACCTCACGCTGGGACCGGGACTAACTATATCATATGCGGTTTCAGCTGTGGTCTGTAACGCTTGCACGATTCTGCATGTCAATTCTAATGCAGCCATCGCGGTACACGTTGTAAAGCTATTCGCCCCGCGCTGTAAACCACGGACAATTCTTCCATCTCTCTGATATTGTTCGATTGGTAACCAAAATAGATCACGTATGCCTTGAACTATAATAATAGCGCCATTAAATAGAATTAATTATAAGTATGTATATATATAAATCTATTTGTATTTATAAATTTGTTACACTAAAAATACAAATTAATTACTTTATAAATGAGGAAACTTTTCATTTAATTTCCATAAAGAATCAGAATTATAAATCATATATATATATATATATATATATATATATATATATATGATTTATAATTATAAATACTCACACAATTGTACCACAGAATGCATCGGGCCTACACCGCCAAGTAAACTCGGAAGTTGATTCTTTTTGATGTCTTGCAACCATTCTGAAGCTAGATACGTGAGAAGCTTATCATATCCTAGTAATCCGTGCCTGTACGACAGTCTTTTCAGTCTTAATTCAGAGCAATTCAGTTCTGCTAAACCCATTAGCAAACCTGCCAACGGTCCATGAGTGAAATCCATACGTTTCCCATGGTAATCCAATCTGATAAGAACTTCCGGACCGAATACCACGCTTCTAAATAGCACATAATTTTTATTATGAATAAATTTTCCTGATGATAATAATTCTAATTTCATACATACCTAAAATATATCGGCTGACTATCGTCGTGGACTTGATGGACAGCCTTTGTTTTAGTTTTATTGTCCCTGAATGTCAGCTCGTCTTCCAAAAGTATCAACAGATTCTGATCAATGATATTATTCTGCGACATATTCATCATCGTGTCATTCTTCAATGCATCATCATTCACGCTCATAATGGGCGGATGATGTGTAGGTGTTCCTTGTTTCGATACCGGGGTGGATTGCGAGCTATTGGGTGTACTAGAGTTTTCTTGGCTTCGCTTCGATCCACCGCCTAGTTCGTTAAAAAATTGTATTAAGAACAGTAGGCTATCTTGGTCTATGTTCAGTCGCAGTGGCAGTAGACTAAGTTTCAAACAACATTCTTGGGCACTTAATCTGGGATCCGGCCTTACGTGAACTGCCTTCATTGTAAACATAATGGAGTGAGATTGCCTGGGTCTCGCTTCGCTGCTGTACTGATAAAGGAATTTGTTTATATGCGATGACGCCAGTCTATCCCTTACTTCGATCTCGTGCACCAATAGCACCTGTCTGGATGCTTCCCGGGTATTCTCAGGATAAACCTCGTGTTGGAAGCGAACCTTGCTCAATTGCAATTCCATCAGCACGTCGTGCCGTCGACCCGACCCACCTAGCGTATGCCAATCAACCAATGATTCGTTGCTTCTCGTTGTGCGCGGCGAATTCGGCACGCTGCCAAAGTGTATTTCATTCGGACTAGATTTGTTGAAGCCTACTGCACCTATAGCGGATCTACTCCTATTAAATAAAAAGAGAAAGGGTCAGTGAAATTTATATTCGCAGAGTTCTATAAAAATTTCTTTTAATCTCTTAATCTTAATTTTGAATTTTCATACCTTCCATGCACGATATTATTGCGAACGTTGTCGTTGATGGTCACGTGTTTCGCGGAGCACTGTGGTTGGGAGCTATCAAAATCATTACCGCCGTACATGTGCCATATCAGAGTCATCTCGCAGAGAGTATACTTCAGGACTGGTGCAGGATAATTTGGCGGAGTTTGTAACAGATCGGTTTTTCCGACCGGCACGGAAAAATGATTATCCACTATCCTCAATGGTTCTTGGCACAACGACCGAACCTCAGGTACTCCGTAGCGCGGTATTATTCCTGCACCGGCCTCTTCTCCTAAGATACAAAATTCGTCGTCATCGTCGTCCTCGTCGTTTACGCCGCACACGATTGTTTTACCACATTCTTGCGAAACCTTTGTTCGTGTTTCTATAGCATGCAAAGCGCACGACTCATCGGGGAAAAAGAATTCAACTCGATTCTCCGTCATCGGTGTCTTCCCGTTTTCAGTCCCGTTTTGAGTCGTTATCGTCGTTCCCTTCACAGTCTCTTCCAACGCGTCCTCCATCAGACTATAGACACGCTCAACCTGACTCCTGCTTAGAGTGTTGATACTTTCGACACCTAAAAGATTTTCCTCGCCCGTCGTGGATGCCGGTGGCACAGTTGTAGGTATGTTCTCGGTGCTGCCGCGGCTAGTCGTGCTGTTGCTCGGCTGCTGCTGCTGCTGCTGCTGTTGCTGCTGCTGCAGCAGATCGCCATCATTGGCAACATACGTGAGCAATTGCATGAGAGCGCGACCAGAATCCGAGCACGTACGTATATGTAACACATTGTTGCTCGCCCGGAGATCAACTCGCGGCGCGCCACCATACATCCTCTCGTTCAGGCGCAGCGACAATTCAAACAGACCAAAATTCATCACGCACACGTAATCTCGCCTGATATCCACTGATTTTTCGCGCATTAATCTGTCCGATATAAAGAGCGCGACGTCTTCCGCGATGAAGCGCAATGTCGATGTGTTAGTCTGCGCTGTGATATTGCTCGATACGCTGAAATTGCCGAGAGTCACGATAGATCTCAACGGTAGATGAAGTGGCCTGTAGTCGATCGCGCAATCCCAAAGATGCAAATGCAGCTCGGTTAAAACACCCGGCGGTGTGTAACCCGCGACCGGATGATCCGCCACATCTAAACAGTCTAAGAACTCTGTGAACCACGTAGTGGCGTTGCTGCACATTCGATGTCTCAATGTGGCATTGCTGATACTTATCGCGACACGAAACGTCTTTATACGGTGCGTTTGATGAGCTGCTTGTATCCTCACCGCGATTGTCATCATATCCTTGTCGTTGGAATTCGCTGCCATGCTACTGCCAGGTCCGCTGCGATATATTGTCCTCTCGCAATGTCGCGGGGTAACGCTATTGATACATCTCAACGGTGGTGTCTGCGACGGGCTCGTCGTCAAACCGCAATGATCGAGCGATATGTTCTTCATCATGGCACAAGCGTAGCTCAGATTCACATTTCCCTTGTACGCCGTTACGGAGAATATTGTGGCATCCTCCAAGCGAACAATGAGCTCTCCTTGTTGTCCGGGTATAACATTACGCATGGAATCGCGTACGGGAGTGTACATAGATAGCAGACCCTGATTGATGCTCAGAGTCATTGCGAGTTTGCTTTGAGCTTTCTTCGACATTCGTGTCTGCTGATGATCCTTGCGATTTTTCTCGTTCGTCGCAGAATGGAAAATACCTTCCTCATCCGAGTCGGAATCGGAATTATATTGGATCCCGCTTTTGCACATGCTGAATCTACGAATAATTTTCAGAAATATTTCAAAACTTTCTCGAATTTAAAATATTTATTTAAATGTTTACCTAGGATAAGCAGATTCCTGTAATAGAGTCGATGCCAAGTCGAGGCTGATATGACTTTCCATGTGAGTGGTATATTTGGGTCTGGGCGCTGACGGCTCCCATAGGAATAGATCGGTATTGAATCGATTATAGAGTTGTTCATAAATGCGTTTAGACGGTATTTGGACGGAAGCGCAAGGTAGATTGATCTCCAACTGCAATCTAGAGCCATGTATACCTTCTTCTATAAATTCCAACATCTCTTGTCGACTGCCAGGTATAATTAATTCCTCACCGTCGCTGTTAGAACATTAATAAAAAAAGAATTATAAATCTATAAACATATTAATTTATTCTAAACATTTTAAAACACTAACCCTTGCTCATTCTTTTCACCACCATGTTCATGAGATCTCGAGTGAAGCGTATCAGATTCGCGCATGATTCGTCTAGAAGTAAACGGGGAAGGCGCATGTTTCGGGGTTTTTTCCAAAGTATCGTCTAAAATTCTTTTATCGTTCTCGAGTTCTTCCTCGGAACTATCTTCTAATGGAGCACCAAGACGTTCTGGATACAAAATGATCACTACTCTCGCCCAACCAAGGCCATCGCTGACCTGCTGACATGATGCAGCATCGTTCTTTTCATCAGCCGTGGCTAAACCGATCTCAATCGGCGTGTCGCCCTCAGTTTCAATATACAACAACATTAACCGGCGACATTGCAACTCATGCCTGGCTAGATAGTGAGATCGGCTATCCATAGTGGAATGAACTTGAGCGTCTGTCATTTGCATTATCATGTAATCGGGTCTCACGGATCTCTTCCACCATGGTGCACGACTCATATCGTGCAATGGCCTCAAGTCTGGGACGGGAAATCTGCATAACAAAAAAAAATCAGCCTTTTGTTGCATCCATGAAATACTCATTACTTGATATTTTATGTAGTACCTCAGCTTTATCATACATGACGATGAAGAAATTTTTATATCCACTCTGGAATCTGGCAGTGTTGCACTATCCACAGCTTGATCAAATAATGTCTGCTGATTCTAAAAGATATGTTGTGACTCTTGATATCGTAAATTGAAATATATAAGGAGATTATAGAACAATTCCAAAAATATATATAAAATATATATACTTACAGCATCCCTAGTATTTATTACAGGATTGCAAGTACATATTGGCTGCGGATTAAGTATAGCGGATATTCTATCTACAATAGTAATGTCTACTTCGCCTCTGCAAGGTTCCATTTGAATACTGGAAGAAAGATTTCTTAAAATACTAATGTCATTTATTTACAATATTATTACAACATATTATCGATTAATAAAATTAATTAGTTCTGTTTTATTAATTTTAGATAGTTAAAACATTTAAAAAATCTAAAGTATTCAAATTGTTACATTTAAATATTATTTAAAAATAAATGTGAGATGATTTACTCGATTTCTGTGCGTGGATGTGCAAATTTTGTCATATGAGCATGTCGGACAGCCTTTTGCGTATATTTAAATCGCATCTTAAAATCGATTTTATTGGAAAATCCAATATTAGTCGCGTTTTCCTTCGTAAACGCTAATAACTCGACAAACTCTGTTGATGCTCTGTACGAGTTGGGATTGTTGGAATCAACCAAACACTCTACAATTTCCAGACTAGCTAGAGTCAAGCTTCCCGATATCGCAGAGTACTGACTAGTAGTTTTTTCACTGCCTTCAACCACTAGCGGTGCAGCCAGTAATCTATAATCAATTGACTTTTTACATTTTTTATTTTAAGTTTATACATAAATTAAAATTAATTTATCATTAATTTAAATGATTAATGTACCTGATATGACTTAATCGACAAGCATCTGTGAGAGATTTTGACGCTGTATCGAAATCCTTACTTCCAAAGCCGCCTACTGCAAATGTTCCCAATTGTCTGAAAAATTCCTTCGCGGCACTCTTCATTTGTTTTATGCTACTAGAAGTTAGACCGAGTTGTTCCACGCACGGCGTCAGTATATCTTCGTGCAACAAAACTAGAGCGACAGAAGACACCCTTATATGGAATTGAGTAGTCTCCGCGGAAGTGTCGTTGTCTATATTGTGTCTCTGTCTATTATGTCTCGTTGGCAGGTTTGTCGCAGAGCTTTTCGAACTGATACTACTAGTCGATATGCTGCCCTCCATACTGAAACTATTACTGACAATCGAATCACACATCGATGTAGAACCCGGCAATTTCATCGGTAAAAATTCATCTTCGTTATCGGACTCGTCCACGGATCCTGTAGACCATCCTTGAGCATATCGTAAGTCCTGTAATATATAATACACAATGTTATATTAAAAAACATATATTTATGCAAAAATACATTAAGAAATCTCGTTACCGTAGTCTTGAAGTCTTGCATAGGATACGTCTGATGAATAAGCTCACGTTCTATGCGAGTGAAATCACTGCTAGCCATAGGTTTCTCCGCATATCTTCTTGGAACGACATTACTCATGTCTTCTAGATTCGGCGATGCTAGGCCATGCGCTAATTCTAACAAAACGTGCAACTGCCTGGGACTCAAGAACAAGGTAAGTGATCCCAGAATAATTTCTAGTTCCACCTAAAGAATATAATCATTTCTTCATTTTACAGAAATATAAAAATCTAGACTGGAGATAAACATAGCATTATGAATAGCCTTGGAATCAAAGGAAATTAGAAATAATTTATAAAAATTCATTTACTTTTGGTCCCGATATTCCTTCCCCTTGTTTCATTTTTAATCTTATTTCTTGTCTACCCGCTAGCTTAGCAAACATAATGGGATTTAATTCATTCGAGTTGTTAACAGCATTTCCTTCTGGAGGAGTGTGCAGCATGCTCTGAGTAGGAGACATTTGTGCGGAGATAAACAAACTGTCCGAATTCTGTTGCCAAAGAAAAGAAAATAAGTTATATCCCGAGAAAATCTCTTTTGAAGTCGTACTTGTAATATCGATTTACTAGATCTTTGTTTATACTTACTTTAGAATCGGGAGTAGAGCACGTACTTGCCACTAGGCTTCTAGAAAACGTTCTCGCATGAGAAGGAAACTCGTCAGTATGGAAAGTCACTCCTTCCATGTAGAATCGCTTGGTGGAGAATGCCGAAATGACGTAACCCTTTGCAGATTCATCGAGATCCAGAGATGTACTACTAGGATCTAATCCAGCTTCATCTGAATATTCAAGATTCTGTATCCACATTTCAACCGCCACTCCCGTGGAAGAATTCAAAGGTACGTGTTCCAAACGTATCACAGTATCGATGAATCTCACTTTAACCCTGGATAAAACTGAAATGCAAATGTTTCAGATTAAAAAACATAATTGTACGCAAATTGTGTTACAAATGCATATTGCATTTTTATATAGAAATAAAATGATATGTTACTTGAATCTATAGTCTGCGCAAACAATTCTACTGCTTCTAAAGGCTGAGCATTTCCTGCATTGGTTGCCTCTTGCTGCAAACATTCCTGTGCTAGTTGCATACTGGACGTCATGGAGCTCCACATGGATTCAAACATTGATGTCCCGGTCTCAACTCTTTGTCGCGGTTGCACCGTAAATCTGAGACCTTTTACTTCCATATAACTCGCTTGGCTAAGTAACGCCGACCATGGTATACTAAGAGATATTTCCAATATAAAACCATCAACGAATTCCAGTGGAACATGTTGTTGCTCTCCCATTTCGTTGAGGCCCTAGATAAAATACAAATATTCATTCTTTTATAAAAAGAAACCAAATATAGTTTTCATCAGTATCTTATAAATATTAAATCAAAAAAAGAAAAAAAAGAAATTGTTTGCAAATCAATCAGCAGCCATCATGAAGCGTAAAAAATTGGCACACTATAATTTGTTGATTAAGAAAACAGTTACTCAATTGTATTATTGAATATAATAGTCTGTATAAATTATCATTTATTAGCACATAAAATATATAGTGTTAACAATGACTAGCACTACGATTCGATGAGTCTTATTAATTTACATATGAATGCAACCAATTGTATTTGTGCTAAATTGTTATTAATATAATTAATAATAAGATAAATATTAAAATAAGATTAATATATAATTTCTATTTATTATATGTTGAAAAGAAATAAACTCTTTTATATGAAATGTAAGAACTTCTATAATTAAAAGATATAATAAAATTCATTAATAATATAAATAAGTACTTTCGATAGGAAATTACACATTTGATAAATGCATTATTTCAATATTTCATTAGAAGTACATAATTTCTATAATATTTATTCATTACACATACATATATCACATTTGCACACATACACGTCTATAGTTTAATTAATTGTATTATATAAAATCATTATTCAATGTTTTAAAAAATATCTAACATCAGAAATTGCATTCATTTATCAAAACACTGGACAGTGTATGGTTTCTTATTGGCTTTTAAATACTACGTCGATCAGCTGTTTAATGACAACGTGCGAACACGAGATAGTCGCAGCGCTGTAAAAGTGTTTAACACGCGTGCCATATTTACCGAATGCACTCCTTATCTTTACAACTTGGCTAACGGAAGGAAGGAACCTTGCAAGAGGCAACAAAGAGCGCCTGCTTAACCTACCTGCACATTGAGATAGACATTGTCGACCTGACCCTTGCCATTGTAAAGATCGACGGTCAGTTGATCGAGCGACAGATCGTGAAGGAAATGACCGAGGTAACGTTGCAGCAGGTATTTGCAGGCCCTCTTCTTGATGTCCGCCGACCAACCGAGCCAAGACATCTTGCACGTTGAAGTTTCGCGCGCGCCGAAAGTTAGGCGTCGTCTATTGCTCCGAGGAAAATTCCGCTCGTGTTTTGCCTCCGAAATAGAGGATCATCTCGTCGACGTCGAGCCAGGCACGTTGTCGCCGGGCATCGTCTCCGTTCCCGTCTTCCTCTCGTCGCTCAACAACGAACAACGTATTCTAGCAATGTAACGGGCGATTCGCTCGACCGAGTCTCATCTCCTCGACACGCGCAACCTCGTCTGCGATGCCTGACATAATACCCTCGAGCGAACAATGGCGATGCGATGCGCTGCACACACGCGTGTGCGTCGTCGGTCGCGTGGTATCCCCACCTCGATCGGAGTCAAACTGATGGGGAGACACGAGAAGAATCTCTTTCTCTCGACGAGGCCTGGAACGAACGAGCTCTGCTTCGCTCCCGGAGCGCCTGCCTCTCATTCCTTCTTCGCGACAATCTTCAGCCAGTCTGTGAAAAGAAAGGAAAGGAATTAATATTCTCACGGTCTTCTATTTATAATTACCTAGGAAAAATGAATCTCGAATTGGACGAGATAGAGATCATCTTTCGCGATGAAAAATCTCCCGATTTTTTTCTCGGACTCGAAAAGCGACGAAGTAATTGAATTTTATAAAGTGAGGACTCTTGTGTGACCCCTGTTTAATCGTTTTTATTTCCGAGTTTTTGAAAAATTCAGGACGTACAGCAAACAAATATAATGTATGTACGCAAATTATATTAATTTATCCTTTACGGAATCCCGCCGAAACCAAGGTGTCCATAAGGGCGCATTCACAATCTTCGCGGAAAAGCAGAAAGCCAATCAGAACTCGCGCTGGTAATAAGCAGTGTGTAAGCAATACATTAGATAGGCGAAAAGTAAAAATTGTGAAATAATGTAATCGACCAAGCTAATTAATAAATTTTATAATTATAAAGTAATTAATAAACAAAAATTCTGGCTAGTTTTGATCGATTACATTATTTCCAATAATCCTTTGATTAATTGGCTAGCGATATTAAGATAATGTATTAATAAAAATTGTGATTACCGCGAGTTCTGATTGGCTTCGGGTGGCCCCCGATTGACTACGTCGTCAATTGGCCAATTCAAAATAGAGCTCTCTGATTGATCAATCGTTGCTAGTTACTCTAGGATTGATATAATTGGCTGTGGTCAACGGGACGCTCCCATTGGCTGCATTTAGCGGACTCAACCGCTAAGTAGCAATCGAATATGATTGGTTTCTATTTTCAGGTCTGACCAATCAGCGTCGAGTTACATCGGAAAATCTAGGAATGTTGCCAACTGTTGAGTCCGCTGAATGCGGTCATTGGCTTCTGCTATTATATGCGCGGAACGGGAGTCCATTTAAAATCCTGTATTTCGATATTGGAAATCAGCTCGAAAAATGTAATGACACTTGAGCCGCAAAATGGAAGGCACCCATTGATATCTACTATCTGGCGCTCGCATCGCATTGTTATGATTGAAGCGGGTGATTCCTCGCGCACGTCCATGGGTGATTATTTTGACAAGTGAATCGTATATCTTTGTCGGTTTAAAAGTGATCGGAAGTCGATTCCAAGCATCTGTCAATGAGAGGACGGCGGGACCCATGGACTCCAATTAATAACGGTTCGTTACAATTACTTGCGGAATCTTGGCAGTGCACCTGGACCGTGAAAAACATCCTCGTCTCGACCGTACAATCCTCGTTCTGAAATATGGCACTGACAAATATCTTGCTGCTCAGTCAGATAGCGGGCTACGTCGTAGCTCTTATCTTGTCCATCTGCATCATCGTGCCTATGAGCTTGCACCAGGATGAGTTTAGGTAAAGATGAGAGATGTATTTTTCAATTGACAACAAACTATGTACTGACATTTTTTTTTCTTCTTGCAGAGGACACTGTCTCCTGTTTTCAACTGGAATCTGGCAGGAGTCGGATGGCCAGTTCGTAGTGAACTGGGCATCGCAGGCATACTGCAATTATACGATATTCGTGGGCCTGATACTTCTCATAACATCGGCGATGCAGATCTATCGACTGTCCTTGCTCATGTATCGCAGCGAGGACAGTTCGTTTCTCTCCGCATTTGTGGACGTCGTCACGTCCATTATCCTCACTACCATCACCCTAATCGCGGCAATTATTGTTACTTTAGGCTTTATGACGTGGTGTCAATGTATGACAAAGAGATTCCCATCTTGTGAGCTAGCCGCTGGAAATGATATTGACAAGGCTGATGGTATTGATACATCTGGCTTTCACATCGAGCTCGGTGCTGCACAGTTCGGCATCTGGAGCAGTCTATCGATTTGGGTCGGTTTGTCGGTTTTCGCAGTCTTAAAAATGTTACGGTATCATCAGTTGGAGAACATGAAAGTCTCTATGTATAGAGAAAGACAAAAATTGATAGAAGCCACTACAAGTGGCACTCAGGAGCAGGAACCGAGTTAAAATTCGGTAGCCTAGTTTTCGTTTCTCAGGGGTAACATGTTTGAGAATATATGTTTGTTAATTCGCAAGGATAAATAATACATTTATATAAACAGTTACAACATATAATAATTTTTTATTAATTTTCAAACGCACAGAGTTAATGCAAATGAAATAATATATAATAATAATAATAATAATATATTAATATAATGGATATTATTCTATAAACAAACTGATGCAGAATCGATTAGTTTTGCAAAAATTAAGTTAAATTCCTTTTATTGAAAGATTAAGATATATATATATGTACAGGAAAATATTTTTAAAATATACGAGCAGAGATTACAATCTTATTTTGATTGAATAAGTTCTTCAATGATAATAAGAATTAAAACAAGACTTATTATAAAACAAGACTTATTATAAAAAAAGACTTATTATAAAACACAAGAAGAAAAACGAGAATCAAGTGCAGAAAACGTAGAATAATTATCTTCATAAAAAATCTTTTAATTAAATATTTCAGTTGCTTGTCTAGAATATTTTCAATAATTGTTGAAAAATTTATTTGTATCACATATAGATATAATGCAAGAATGAATAGTAATGCATATTATTAAAAATCTGTTTTATACTTGAAAATATTATTTCTTTAGCTTAATGTGTGATATTTTTGTAATATCTTATTGTTGGCCCAGTGAAGTTCCTTAATGGAACTGATTGAGGGACTCGTCTTGTTCACATTTTGTTTAAATCATGTTGAATTGCATGAACATCAAAGATGATTCCCCATGGTTTTTATAAAATGTATTCATTTACTACTCACTTTTATACTATTTCTATGTATGACAAATAGTTCTATAAATAATTATTTAAGATGGTCCAAAATGGAATCAAAATTTAATTAATGGATTTTTTACAGATATTTATTCGTACTGTTTTTTTTATGCTTAGTTCTCATTAGTCCGTTTTTCTCTTATAAATTCTTTAGTAGTATTGCATCATATTATTCAAATTTTCGATTTTCTATAACTTTAGATATATAAGATTTGTATAAAAATATATGTTAATAATGTATATATTACAATGTATAAATACTCCTATTTGTAATGAACAAATAGAAACATAGTCATAGTATATAATAAGTAACAAAAATTGATGTATATACCTGCTTATTTTATATATTTCTCTTTATATTATTCTGATTGTATTCATATATAATGCATGAAGTCATTGGATTATTGTTTGAATATATAATTTGAAAAAGATATACAGTTGTTACAGGAGCCTAAATTTTAAAAAATTATATTAATATATATTTAAAAATATTTAAATATATTACATATGAATTATAGTTACATATATAAAAACTACAATGCAATATATCAAAATTATATCCTGACCCAAGCTAATGTTATATCTAATCCTGAAAAAATTTCAATATATAAATATTGCAAATATATCTTGCACGTTAATCATACATAAAAAAGATCAAATATAAATAAATGATCGAAATTGCGAGGAGACTCGATTAAAAATTATTGTATTTGTCTTTGTATTTTTTTGCATACTCCGAGCATGCTTCTACGACTACCTGGTGGACATTTGGGAGTTCTTTTAGGAGGATCGATTATCACAAAGGGCGAGACGTCAATTGGCACACATTCCAGTTTGAAGGTAGTTTCGTTCACACTTATTGTCCCATCGGGTGCGCAAGGACCACCTGCGGTTTTGAGAGGATAACACGTATCATTGTACGGCACCACACCGTCTTCCAAGCAAGGATTCTTCACGCAACGTGGCACTGCTTCGTCCTCAGGAAGAACGACGTAATTCTCAGATGGACAAGGACCTTGCCTGTAGGCCTCGTGACAGGAATCGTTCAACGGAAAATACAAGAATCGTGGTTTACAATCGCACACCCAGGTGCTTTTTACACCGTCACCCGGATAAAGAAGCATGTTCTTCGGGCAACTGTCCGGTATCGACACGGGTATACGATCCGTTATCACCTGCACGAAAATGAGTATGTAAAGAAAGATATACAGCCTATTCTTCACCAACTTTTTACACCTTTTTTTTTTGTTACCGTGGAATTGCCGCCGCTGACGTAAGGTGTCTCTTCATCAATCGGAAATGTCAGCTCCTGGCCGGGTATCATCATATAATTGTACATAAAAAGCACAACACCGATGTATAAGCACTTCATTTTTCCTGTTGGACGAATCTGTACTGCCAAGAAAATACAGATATTTGTAAATGAAATGTTGAAAAAGCTACTGGCGATATAAAACGTCGCAATACAACTGCAAAGGTCAATCAGAGTTAATTGCGCATAAATATTTAATGCTAATGATTATTTAAAAATTGTTAGCGCATAAAGATATGAACGGTGCGTACAAACGTTTCTGATCTGCTTCGATGATAAATAAGAAAAAAAAAACGAAACATACATATACATATACTCCAAGGAAAATACCCATTATAAACTATCAGAAATTATCTAAACGACTATTAATGAGATATATATGAGTACAAATACATTTATATATTAATGTATCACAAGTTAGTTCTAATTGGCGCGTTTCACATCGAGATTTAATGCAGGCGAATATGTAAATAATATGATAATTTCTTACAATGTTCTTGACAATAATAGATCCTTAGTTTCCGATAGAAATAGAAGGTACTACGCACGTGACAAGCGTGAGAATGAAATGTGAATTTGAAAGAGATGTTTTAAGATTCTCCTAAACAATTATACTGAGCCCAAGTAACAGAGCTATGATGTTTCAAGGCTAACCACTATCAAACAAAAGAAAATGAAAGAGTGTGTTGACTTGAGCGATATTCCTCTTCCTATACCAGTTCTATTAATACCAGTGTGTCTTTATATAAGCAGCTGTACGTATAACTCATAAGGAAACCATTTATTATTTAATATTACATATAAGAACAGTAAAGAAAGAGGAATTCTTGGGAATAACATACTTCTTGAAATCACGATTCAAAATAATTAAACCACATCAAAGTATGACTTAAATCAATATTGAGACGTAAATAATTTTTTAAATATAATATTTAATATAATATTATATATAATTTTACATATTAATATTATATAATATATAATTTTACATATTAATATAATTCATATTTTTTTAATTTCTTATCGACGAGATGTAAAATATTATCTTTCTAAATATTATCCTATTAAATAATTGAAATCCAATTATTTAATAAGCTTACTAAGAATTTGCTCGAGCGAACGCGCTGTATACAATATTTCGCTGAATCGAACATAAAATATCTTGTAATACTTGAGTAATGAGAAAAGTAAAAACTTCTATTATCATATATTTACAAACAAGTGATTCGGATCATCCGTGAGGGGAAAAGAGAAAAAGACCATGACATTGAAAGACAGATCACTCATCTATCTCCAAGTTGGCTTCCAGTTTTGCAATTTATTACTTCGATCTGTGCACTTAAATTGTTTATAGAAGCTAAAAATTATTCTTATGATAGATTTAAGGCGAGATTTTAATTGTCCTTAAAAAGTTCTATCATTTATATTGGAGTGAAGCCATCAAACCGTATAACTCTTTAGCTATTAGTCTGGGAGATGCCATAGACTAGTATCTATTTATAACATAAAAAGAAAAGATATATATATGAGATAGGAAAATTATTTAAACTAAATATAACTATAATAAACTTTATAACTATTATACTTACTGTAATTGTGACGTGTTCGTACAATTCTGCACACTCCGAGTTTCAGGCTTCTACGACTACCCGATGGACAATGTCTTGTGGGCCTAATAAAACTGGATAGCTCTTCCCTACATTTCAATTGGAAGATAGTTTCGTCCACGTCCAATATCTCTCCGGGCTCGCAAGGACCTAGTGTTTCGAGAATGCCGTCCTCCAAGCAAGGATTCTCCACGCAACGTGCCACTGTTTCGTTCTCGAGAAGAACGAAGTAATTCTTAGATGGACAGATTCTTAGACAAGAACCTTGCCTGTAGGCCTCGTAGCAAGAATCGTTCAATGGGAAATACAGGAATTGTGGTTTACAATCGTATATCGGGTGATTTTTACACCGTCATCGTCAAGAGGATAAAAAAGCATGTTGCACAATTGTCAGGTATCGACACGAGTATATGTTCCATTATCACCTGCACAAAAACAAGTAAAGAAAGATGTACAGCTCACTCTTCTTCGCGAACATTTACATCAATACTTTTATTACCGTAAAATTGTCGCCGTTGACGAGGATATCTCTTCATCAATCGAAAATGCCAGATCCTAGCCGGGTATCATTATATAAATGGACGTAACAATACCGATATATAAGCAAGCTTCATTTTTGCTGTTGGATGAATCTGCGCTGTTGAAAAAATACAGATATTCGTAAATGAAAAGGCTACTCGTGATATAAAATTTCGCATAAAAGTGCAAAGATCAATCAGAGCTAGTTGCACATAAATATTTTTCTAATAATTATTTAAAAAATCGCGCATGAAGATATCATAAACGTCAATACGCGCATAAGCGTTTTGATATTTATTTCAAATCTTTTTCAATAATAAATTAGAAAAAGAGAGAACGAAATATACATATATACATATACTTCGAGGAAAATCCCCGTTAGTTAGCTTATCAAAAGTTATCTAAATGACTATTAACGCGATATATGAGTAAAAATAAATTTATACTAAATTATATATCACAAGTTTGCGCTCTAGTTGGCGCGATTTACATCGAGATTTAATGCAGACGGATATGCAAACATAATATGATAATTTTTTACAATGTGTTTGGCAATAATATCCTATTTTTTTCGATAGAGAAAAAGAAGGTACTGCGTGCGTGAAATGTGAACTTGAATGAAATATGCTTTAAGATTCTCTTAAATAATTATACTGAGCCGAAGTAACGCACCTATGATGTTTCAAGACTAACCACTATCAAACAAAAGAAAATGAAGAAATATACCAACTTGAGGATAATCCTCCTTCTATACAGTGTCTTTATGTAAGCATCTGTACGTATAACTCGTAAAAAAGCTATTTAAAATTTACATACAGGAACAGAAGATGAAGAGAAACTCTTGAGAAATATACATTTCTTGGAAGCACGATTCAAAATATTACAAATGCCATAATTAAATCGCTTGCATCAAGGTGTAACTTGCACAAATACTGAAATATAAATAGTTTTTCTTTTTAAATATAACTTACATTCACTAGCGGATCCTGACATTGATAATGGGGGGGGGGGAGGGTTTCTGCAAAATTATTTGATTTAATATTTTTGGTTTCATGCTTAGCTTTATTTTTCTTTACGTATATATTTTAAGCGGATTCAGCAAAATTAATTTCTTTTAATTTGCAAAGGCGGGAGGGTTTAGGGTTTAACCCTAAACCCCCCTCCCCCAGGATCCGCCAGTGCTTACATTTAATATAATCCATATTTTTTAATCTATCGATGATCGACAAGATGTAAAATTTCCTTTTTTAATTAAATTATCTTTAATAATTAAATTTAACTAAATTAAATTTAATTAACTAAATTTAACTAAATTAAATTAACTTTAATTAAATTTAACTAAATTATCTTCCTATAATTAAAAAAATTAATTAATAAGCTTATTAAAAGTATTTGCCCGATCTAGCCATGTGAACGCACTATATACAATACTTCGTAAAATCAAATATAGAATATTTTGTAATACTTGAGTATTTAAAACAGTAAAAGCTTTAATGTATTATATCATATTTACAAAAAAGTATGTGATTCGGATTGTCCGTGGGGGGAGCAGAGGAAAGCCGTGACCTACAGGGGAATCACTCATCTATCTTCAAGTTGTCTTTCAGTTTTGCACTTTATTTGATCCATGCATTTAAATCGTTTACAGAACCTAAAAACGATTCTTAAGATTTAAGCCGAGATTTAATTTCTCCTTAAAAATTTCCATCATTTATGTTATAGTGAAATCATCAAACTGTGTAACTCTTTAGCTGTTGATTCCATAGTCTGGTATCTATATATAACATAAAAAGAAAAGATATAATATATGTATACACATACATACATACCTACATATAGACATGAGACAGAAAAATATTTGATTAAAACCAATGTACTCACTCTAATTTGACGTGATTTAGTTGTGACGTGCTTGTATTTTTCTGCATATGCCAAGCTTCAAACTTCTACGACTACCCAATGGACAATCTCTTGAAGCAAAATTATCGATGAAAGCGTACATAGGAATTGGCATACATTTCAGTTGAAAGGTCGTTACGTCCACTTCCAATCTGTAATTGGGATCACAAGGGATGCCTATGGTTTGGAGAGGATAACACGCACCATTGTACGGCACCATGCCGTCTTGCAAGCAAGGATTCTTCACACAACGTGGCATTGTTTCGTTCTCGGGAAGAACAAGGTAATTCTCAAATGAACAAGGACCTTGTTTGTAGGGCTCGTAGCATGAATCGTTCAATGGGAAATACAAGAATCCTCGTTTACACTCACACATCCAGACGTCCATTTTATTCTCAATCGGATAAAGAGCCATGTTTTTCGGACAACGATGTTTCACATACGAATTCGTCGACGACACAGGTACACATTCCGTTATCCTCTGCATAAAAATGAATATATAAGAAAATGTTTAATTCTCTTATAAAATTTTTATATTATTTTTTAATTATAATACTTTTATTACCGTCCCATTGTCGATGTCGATATAGGATGTTTCTTCATCAGAAAGAACCTGGCTGGATATCATCATATAATTGTACACAAAAAACACAATACCAATATAGCACTTCATTTCTATTACTGAACGAAACTGAGCCGATAAACAGTACTAAGAAGATTGCATAAAGATGTACGTTTTAATCCGTTCAGCATCACATTAAGTATATATAAACAGTAGAGGAAAAAGTGGGGACAGGAATTTATCGAAAAAATACGCTTCTCGGAAATTCTCACGATTCAAGATGAGGAAATCTCTCGCATCAAGATAACATAATTAACACTGAAATATAAATAACTTTTTTCTATAGATCTATTGACGATATAAAATATTATCTTTCTATTATCTTTATAATTTTTAAATCCAGCTTATTAAGAATTTTTATCGAGGTAATCACATGAACGCACTATAATGTTTAACAATTATGCTAAATCAAACATAGAATACTCTGTAATATTCGAATATAAGAGAAAGTAAAAGCTTTTATTAATTGTAATCATATAATTACAAAAAAATGTGATTGAGATTGTTCAGGAGGAAAGAAGACGATGAAAAAAAGAGGCTCACTCGTCTATCTTCAAGTTTTTACTTCGATATATGTGCACTTAAATATTTATAGAAGCTAAAAATTACTCTCTTGATATATTTAAACTAAGATTTAAATTCCTTAAAAAGTTCCATCATTTATATGCTAGAGTAAAGTCATCTGTGTAATTCTTTGGCTATATACTATTATATACTAATTTATATACTAATTTGTGTATCACAGGTTTGTACTAATTGGCGCGATTCACATCGAAATTTAATGCAAACGAATATTCAAACATAATATGATAACTTCTTACAATGTTCTTGACAATAATATCCTATTTTCCGATAGAAAAGAAAGTACTGCGCGCATGACAAGCTTGAGATGTGAACTTGAATATATATAGAAATATGCTTTAAGATTCTCTTAAATAATTATACTGAGTCGAAGTAACACACCTATGATATTTCAAGGCTATCAAACAAAAGAATATGAAAGATTATACCGACTTGAATAACGCTTTTCTTACCAGTTCAGCTAATACTAGCGTATGTAAGCATCTATACGTAGAACTCGTGAGAAAGCCAATTTAATTTTAATATTTATATATAGGAACTGTAGAGGAAGAGTAATTCTTCGGAAAAAATACTTCTCCGAATCACGATTCAAAATAATTAAATCGCTTGCATCAAGGTTTGACTTAGACGAATACTCAAACGTAAATAGTTTTTCTTTTTAATTAAAATTTATATTTAATATAATCCGTATTTTTTTAATCTGGTATCGACAAGATGTTAAATATTATCTTTCTATAACTGAAGCCCAAATTATTTAATAAGCTTATTAAACATTTGCTCGATCTAGCCGTGTGTATGCATTATATACAATATATCACTGAATCTAACATCTTGTTAGAATATCTTGTAATATTCGAGTATTGAGAAAAGTAAAAGTTTTTATACATTATATCATATACTTACAAAAAAGTGTGTGATTTGGATTATCCCTGGGGAGAGGAGAGGAAGATCGTGAAGGGGGATCATTCATCTATCTTCAATTTGTCTTCCAGTTGTGCAATTTATTACCTCGATCTGTGCACTTAAATCGTTTATAGAAGCTAACAATTATTCTTATGATAGATTTAATGAGGCCGAGATTTAAATTGTCCTTAAAAAGTTCTATCATTTATCTTGGAGTAAAGTCGTCATATGTGTAACTCTTTAGCTGTTAGTTTGAGAGATTCCATAGTCTGGTATCTATTTGAAACATAAAAAGAAAAGATATATATATATATATATATATATATATATATATATATATATGAGATAAAAAATATTTGATTAAGATCAATATATTCACTCCAATTTGACGTGATTCAATTGTGACGTACTTTTATGCACGCTTCGCTCTTTAGGCTTCTAAGACTACCCGATGGACAATCTCTTCTGAGCGTACCGATAAAACTAGCAGCCCATTGTTGGATACATTTCAGTTGGAAGGTAGTTTCGTGCACGTCCAATAACTGTCCAGGCTCGCAAGGGCCTAGTGTTTTGAGAAGATAACACGTGCCATTATACGGCACCATGCCGTCTTCCAAGAAAGGATTCTCCACGCAACGTGGTAATGTTTCGTTCTCGGGAAGAACGAGGTAATTCTTAGACGGACAAGGACCTTGTTTGTAAGCCTCGTAGCAGGAATCGTCCAACGGGAAATACATGAATCCTGATTTACACTCGCATATCCAGACATTTATTTCATTCTCAACCGGATAAAGATTCATGTTTTTCGGACAACGATGTTTTACGTACAAATCCATCGACGACGCGAGTACACATTCCTTCTCAATTATCCTCTACATAAAAATGAGAATATAAGGAAGTGTATAACTCTCTTTGTAAATTTTTATATTAATATTTTTATTACCGTCTCATTGTTGATACCGATATGGGATGTTTTTTCATCATCGGAAAAAACCTGGCCGCATATCATCATATAATTGTATGTCAGCTGAGAGACCCACATTCTGAAAAAGAAAAAAAAAATAAGAAAAAGAAGGGAACAAATTAGAATAAAAAGAGAAACAAATTAAAATAAAAAATAAAGTTTAAATAAAAGGCTCCTTAAACATAAAAGTAGGGAAATAGAAAAATTACAGACAAAAGACAGAGATGACCGAAAGCTCGAAACTGTAAAAGGAAAGAGAATTAAATTAAAAAAAAAAAAAAAAAATGCCCGCTGCTGCTGCTGCTGTCCGCTTCCCGCTGCCGCTGTCCGCTGTCCGCTTCTCGCTGCCGCTGTCCGCTGTCCGCTTCCCAATGTCCGCTGTCCTCTTCTCGCTTCCGCTGTCCGCTGTCCGCTTCCCGCTGCCGCTGTCCGCTGTCCTCTTCTCGCTTCCGTTGTCCGCTGTCCGCTTCTCACTGTCCGCTGTCCTCTTCTCGCTTCCGCTGTCCGCTGTCCGCTTCCCACTGTCCGCTGTCCTCTTCACGCTTCCGCTGACCGCTGTCCGCTTCCCGAGGCCGCTGTCCGCTGTCCTCTTCTCGCTTCCGCTGTCCGCTTTCCGCTTCCCGCTGTCCGCTGTCCTCTTCACGCTTCCGCTGTCCGCTGTCCGCTGTGCGCTTCCCGCTGCCGCTGTCCGCTTCCCGCTGCCGCTGTCCGCTGTCCTCTTCTCGCTTCCGCTTTCCGCTGTCCGCTTCCCGCTGCCGCTGTCCGCTGTCCTCTTCTCGCTTCCACTGTCCGCTGTCCGCTTCCCGCTGCCGCTGTACGCTGTCCTCTTCTCGCTTCCGCTGTCCGCTGTCCGCTTCCCGCTGCCGCTGTCCGCTGTCCGCTTCTCGCTGCCGCTGTCCGCTGTCCGCTTCCCAATGTCCGCTGTCCTCTTCTCGCTTCCGCTGTCCGCTGTCCGCTTCCCGCTGCCGCTGTCCGCTGTCCTCTTCTCGCTTCCGTTGTCCGCTGTCCGCTTCTCACTGTCCGCTGTCCTCTTCTCGCTTCCGCTGTCCGCTGTCCGCTTCCCACTGTCCGCTGTCCTCTTCACGCTTCCGCTGACCGCTGTCCGCTTCCCGAGGCCGCTGTCCGCTGTCCTCTTCTCGCTTCCGCTGTCCGCTTTCCGCTTCCCGCTGTCCGCTGTCCTCTTCACGCTTCCGCTGTCCGCTGTCCGCTGTGCGCTTCCCGCTGCCGCTGTCCGCTTCCCGCTGCCGCTGTCCGCTGTCCTCTTCTCGCTTCCGCTTTCCGCTGTCCGCTTCCCGCTGCCGCTGTCCGCTGTCCTCTTCTCGCTTCCACTGTCCGCTGTCCGCTTCCCGCTGCCGCTGTACGCTGTCCTCTTCTCGCTTCCGCTGTCCGCTGTCCGCTTCCCGCTGCCGCTGTCCGCTGTCCGCTTCCCACTGCCGCTGTCTGCTGTCCGCTTCCCGCTGTCCGCTTTCCGCTTTCCGCTGTCCGCTGTCCGCTGTCCGCTTCCCGCTGTCCGCTGTCCGCTGCTGCTGCTGGTTCCCGCTGCTACTGCTGCTGCTGCCCGCTGCCCGCCGCTGCTGATGTCGGCTGAGAGACCCACATTCTGAAAAAGAAAAAAAAATAAGAAAAAGAAGGGAACAAATTAGAATAAAAATAGAAACGAGCATCCCGCTAACCGCTGTCCGCTTCCCGCTGTCCGATACCCGCTGTCCGCTGTCCGCTGTCCGCTTCCCGATGTCCGCTTCCCGCTGACCGCTGTCCGCTTCCCGCTGACCGCTGTCCGCTTCCCGCTGTCCGCTGTCCGCTTTCCGCTGTCCGCTGTCCGCTTTCCGCTGTCCGCTTCCCGCTGGCCGCTGTCCGCTTTCCGCTGTCCGCTTCCCGCTGTCCGCTCCACGCTGTCCGCTTCCCGCTGTCCGCTTCCCGCTGTCCGCTTCCCGCTGTCCGCTTCCCGCTGTCCGCTTCCCGCTGTCAGCTGTCCGCTTTCCGCTTTCCGCTTTCCGCTGCCCGCTGTCCGCTGTCCGCTTCCAGCTGTCCGCTGTCCGCTGCTGCTGCTGGTTCCCGCTGCTACTGCTGCTGCTGCCCGCTGCCCGCTGCTGCTGATGTCGGCTGAGAGACCCACATTCTGAAAAAGAAAAAAAAATAAGAAAAAGAAGGGAACAAATTAGAATAAAAAGAGAAACGAGCATCCCGCTGTCCGCTTCCCGCTGTCCGCTTCCCGCTGTCCGCTTTCCGCTTTCCGATGTCCGCTGTCCGCTGTCCGCTGTCCGCTTTCCGCTGTCCGCTGTCCGCTGTCCGCTTCCCGCTGGCCGCTGATTTCGGCTGAGAGACCCACATTCTGAAAAAGAAAAAAAAATAAGAAAAAGAAGGGAATAAATTAGAATAAAAACAGAAACGAGCTTCACGCTGTCCGCTTCCCGCTGACCACTTCCCGCTGGCCGCTGTCCGCATCCCGCTGTCCGCTTCCCGCTGTCCGCTTCCCGCTGTCCGCTTCCCGCTGGCCGCTGTCCGCTTCCCGCTGGCCGCTGTCCGCTTTCCGCTTCCCGCTGTCCGCTGTCCGCTTCCCGCTGTCCGCTGTCCGCTTCCCGCTGTCCGCTGTCCGCTGTCCGCTTTCCGCTTCCCGCTGTCCGCTTCCCGCTGTCCGCTGTCCGCTTCCCGCTGTCCGCTGTCCGCTTCCCGCTGTCCGCTGTCCGCTTCCCGCTGTCCGCTTCCCGCTGTCCGCTGTCCGCTGTCCGCTGTCCGCTGTCCGCTTCCCGCTGTCCGCTGTCCGCTTCCCGCTGTCCGCTTCCCGCTGTCCGCTGTCCGCTTCCCGCTGTCCGCTTTCCGCTGTCCGCTGTCCGCTGTCCGCTTCCCGCTGGCCGCTGATTTCGGCTGAGAGACCCACATTCTGAAAAAGAAAAAAAAATAAGAAAAAGAAGGGAATAAATTAGAATAAAAACAGAAACGAGCTTCACGCTGTCCGCTTCCCGCTGACCACTTCCCGCTGGCCGCTGTCCGCATCCCGCTGTCCGCTTCCCGCTGTCCGCTTCCCGCTGTCCGCTGTCCGCTGTCCGCTGTCCGCTGTCCGCTTCCCGCTGTCCGCTGTCCGCTTCCCGCTGTCCGCTTCCCGCTGTCCGCTGTCCGCTTCCCGCTGTCCGCTTTCCGCTGTCCGCTGTCCGCTGTCCGCTTCCCGCTGGCCGCTGATTTCGGCTGAGAGACCCACATTCTGAAAAAGAAAAAAAAATAAGAAAAAGAAGGGAATAAATTAGAATAAAAACAGAAACGAGCTTCACGCTGTCCGCTTCCCGCTGACCACTTCCCGCTGGCCGCTGTCCGCATCCCGCTGTCCGCTTCCCGCTGTCCGCTTCCCGCTGTCCGCTTCCCGCTGTCCGCTGTCCGCTTCCCGCTGTCCGCTGTCCGCTGTCCGCTTTCCGCTTCCCGCTGTCCGCTTCCCGCTGTCCGCTGTCCGCTTCCCGCTGTCCGCTGTCCGCTTCCCGCTGTCCGCTGTCCGCTTCCCGCTGTCCGCTTCCCGCTGTCCGCTGTCCGCTGTCCGCTTCCCGCTGTCCGCTGTCCGCTTCCCGCTGTCCGCTTCCCGCTGTCCGCTGTCCGCTTCCCGCTGTCCGCATTCCGCTGTCCGCTGTCCGCTGTCCGCTTCCCGCTGTCCGCTTCCCGCTGTCCGCTTCCCGCTGTCCGCTTCCCGCTGTCCGCTGTCCGCTTCCCGCTGTCCGCTGTCCGCTGTCCGCTTCCCGTTGTCCGCTGTCCGCTTCCCGCTGTCCGCTTCCCGCTGTCCGCTGTCCGCTTCCCGCTGTCCGCTGTCCACTGTCCGCTTCCCGCTGTCCGCTGTCCGCTGTCCGCTGTCCGCTTCCCGCTGGCCGCTGATGTCGGCTGAGAGACCCACATTCTGAAAAAGAAAAAAAAATAAGAAAAAGAAGGGAACAAATTAGAATAAAAACAGAAACGAGCTTCACGCTGTCCGCTTCCCGCTGACCACTTCCCGCTGTCCGCTGTCCGCTTCCCGCTGTTCGCTTCCCGCTGTCCGCTTCCCGCTGCCCGCTGTCCGCTGTCCGCTGTCCGCTGTCCACTGTCCGCTTCCCGCTGTCCGCTTCCCGGTGTCGGCTTCCCGCTGTCCGCTGTCCGCTGCCCGCTTCCCGCTGTCCGCTTCCCGCTTCCCGCTGTCCGCTTCCCGCTGTCCGCTGTCCGCTTCCCGCTGTCCGCTGTCCGCTGTCCGCTTCCCGTTGTCCGCTGTCCGCTCCACGCTGTCCGCTTCCCGCTGTCCGCTGTCCGCTTCCCGCTGTCCGCTGTCCGCTTCCCGCTGGCCGCTGATGTCGGCTGAGAGACCCACATTCTGAAAAAGAAAAAAAAATAAGAAAAAGAAGGGAACAAATTAGAATAAAAACAGAAACGAGCTTCACGCTGTCCGCTTCCCGCTGACCACTTCCCGCTGTCCGCTTCCCGCTGTCCGCTTCCCGCTGTCCGCTTCCCGCTTTCCGCTGTCCGCTGCTGCTGCTGGTTCCCGCTGCTACTGCTGCTGCTGCCCGCTGCCCGCTGATGCTCATGTCGGCTGAGAGACCCACATTCTGAAAAAGAAAAAAAAATAAGAAAAAGAAGGGAACAAATTAGAATAAAAAGAGAAACGAGCATCCCGCTGTCCGCTTCCCGCTGTCCGCTTCCCGCTGTCCGCTGTCCGCTGTCCGCTGTCCGCTTCCCGCTGTCCGCTTCCCGCTGTCCGCTGTCCGCTTCCCGCTGTCCGCTGTCCGCTTCCCGCTGTCCGCTTCCCGCTGTCCGCTGTCCGCTGTCCGCTTCCCGCTGTCCGCTGTCCGCTTCCCGCTGTCCGCTTCCCGCTGTCCGCTGTCCGCTTCCCGCTGTCCGCATTCCGCTGTCCGCTGTCCGCTGTCCGCTTCCCGCTGGCCGCTGATTTCGGCTGAGAGACCCACATTCTGAAAAAGAAAAAAAAATAAGAAAAAGAAGGGAATAAATTAGAATAAAAACAGAAACGAGCTTCACGCTGTCCGCTTCCCGCTGACCACTTCCCGCTGGCCGCTGTCCGCATCCCGCTGTCCGCTTCCCGCTGTCCGCTTCCCGCTGTCCGCTTCCCGCTGTCCGCTGTCCGCTTCCCGCTGTCCGCTGTCCGCTGTCCGCTTTCCGCTTCCCG